GGCGGTTCGTCTTCGAAGTCACGACGTGGTTGATGACGTCTTGGCTGATGTGTTATGCAGCTAAACATTCGCTGATCGAGCCGTTCGACGGTCGCGCTCACTGAGTCAACAGCTACCGGTGGGATCCAGAGGAGGACCGATCGAGAGCTGCGACACGACACTTATACTCTGTGCAACGGCCGAAAATGTAGAATAATACTTTATTCTGGTCCCTGTGTTCCGACTCACTATCCGACCAAAGAAATGATGTGTTCTTAGCTACTGGTACTAAAGAGCACAGCCTTACTGTAGTTTCCGCGTAACTTCTTAGTAATTTTCAAGAGGACATGGATATTGATTGCTAGACTTGATAAGAGAGGACACCATGGGATACATGAATCTGCCGCACCAGGATGGATCCCAAAATATTTTTTCTCATCGCATAGTGGACTAAGAAAAGGACATATGTACTGAGTGAGTTCTGTCGACAACGATGAGGTAATCGGATGAAAAAGAAGGGAAGAATTGAATGTCGCAGTTGGAGAGCTCATTAATTTCCCTTAAATAAAGGAAGAAAAAACTCTGTAAAACTAAAGCCTACTTGATTTTTTAAGTATTTTATTACCTTTGGAGGGGGATGTATTCAATTTCCGATGCAAGGTGGTCAATATTTTAAACACACGATTGCCCATCGCTTTACACCTTCGCATTCTTTACATTTCTTCCGCAATTAAATATTCGCTGCTATTAATATATTTAGGTCAAATCTAGCCTCTACAAAAATAATTCTAGCATCGTCGTCTAAAAATAAGGCGGCACCTAACAATTAGTTTTGCAAGTGTGTTTTGTTTAAGGCTTTAGGGCTTACCGAACGGAATCAAACATTTGCTGAAAGAATGGCAACGGGACGACTGCCCTCTCTTTAGCGTCGGTGAAGCGCTCTGTTCTGGATGTCAGTAATCCGAAAAAAAATCCAAAATCAAAATGGTGAGTTTTTACTATGGTGGATTTTTGATGGAATTTCAACAACCAATGGTTCTCGACTGCTAATGCATATGAAGATCGATTGAGAGCTCACAGATTTATAGAAGCTTTTTTGTCGCAAGCGCATAATACTCATACATCCTCAGCATTGAAATTGTTTCGAACTGAAGTTTTTCTGCAATCAAATACTTTTATTGATCAGCCAGACACCAATCGAATAGTGACTGCAGTGGTTCGCGCCTGATTCTTCATAAATGAGCAATTCAAGTGCGCAGTAAGTATGATGAAAGTGTAAGTTCGGCCGACGCAACAAAGATGGAGAAGGTATCCATCAGCATTCCTGGGATCATACACTGTCCCATTTGGTCTATTCACACATGGTCATGAGAACAACGGAGTCTCGCGACTAATCGGCTCGCAAACTGTCACATGAAAGACAGCCGTGGTCCTCTATTCATGTGTTCGAGTCATGGGCAGAGAAACATCTTAATATTATTATTGGCTCATCGCATATCTCAGCTTTTCTCTTTTTCAGTGAAGTTTTAAATGTGAGACGTTCAGTTCGACGGTGAAGACTCCATGTAGCTCATACATTTCCTATGATAGGAGAAGCCCTATCTCTGCACGGACTGAAAAGTGCCATCATTAACGCATTCGTGAGAATGCGCATTGAATTCAATGAGTACGCTACGTACATAAAAACGTGGCCATCAAGTTTCATGCAAACGCATGTCAGCTTATAGTGTTCTCCATTATCTAAGACAAAAACTATTAGAACATAAACATCTTTTACCATTGTTTCATTCTATTATATCGACTTCTATATTCTACGAGGACGCATGTGGCGGTGGTCGGAGGCGCCCTGCAATACACACGTCCAATCGATCTCCGTGGGCATGGCCTACTACCAAGCCTTCCATCCCTCCGAGGTCGGCAAATTGGTACCAGACTTGTCTGGGAGGATAGTAGCACTGGCTCGGTACATCAGTAGGCAACCGCGAGCCATTGTAAAGGACGGACATGCATTCAATCACCTCCAAACAATACTTAATGAAGTCTAATGCATGGCGCATCCTTCAGGGATTGATCAGCGCCGAGAGCCTTATCTTTTATTTTATTTATTATATGAACTTGGCAAACAGAGAATAAGGCTCACTCTGTCGTTCCGAAGGCCAATGAAGTATTCCGTATCCTCCCAATTTCGAATTTCCTCAAGAATGACAATTTTAGAAAAAGAGTACTCATGATTTTCTACCGTAAGCGCGTTTTAGGAAGAACCATCCCCTTCCGCTGGAATAGGTTTCGTCTGCCAACTCATAGCGTTCAAGACGAATTGTATTCAATACACTCGGCACAAAAGTAGTGGTCGCGTTGTTGTGAACAAGCATATTTCAGGTCATCTTGAATTTTTATTGAGTCTAATGAAAACAATTAGATTAACTGTTAGTGATAATGTTGGAGAGTGTTGCGATTTCTGATCAACTGGATGTTGAGATAGAGGAAAAGCATTCTGAATATGCTTCCCTTTCTCGCCCATCTCCTGGTGAGGAGCTACATCGCCAACTAATGCCGAAAACCAAGTAACAAAAACATACTGGTTTCTTACCGGTTCTCTCACCTTTCACATACAAAAGCAGAACTTGTGAGAAACATGTTCCGAATAGCCACCGGTGTGTGCACAAGAAAAGAGCAGAAGGAAGGATCTTTGAAATTGGCGCTGTAAATAGCCATTTCCAATGGCTTGGAAACTGTAGCTTCTCGAACGACGTGGTGAACTATTCAGACGCCAGGTAATTCGTAACCGCCTGTATGACCGTCAATGCTCAACGTAACATTGCGTAATTTGCCCTAACGTAGAGATGGTGATTCTATGAGTTGGGTACGGTTTAACTGACCTCTTGTAAAGCGTGTAGGGATGAATAGATTGATGAAAATGCGTAGACCACTGTGTTCGTATAAGAGAATACCTATATGGTAAGCGTAAACTCGAGCAAAAAACATCACTAGAATCGCATAGGACACAGACATATAATGGGTAGATTTTGAATAGGTCACTGTCCTCGGACAGGAATTCAAAATGTCAGCGCGTAGAGCTCTTATGACACTCTGGATAAATTCCAAAGATCCAAAAATGAACCAAAAAAAGAGCTCTTCGTTGTCACTCGTGGTTTCACACAGTAACTCAGAGTGATACTTTAATATAAAAGAGGCTCATTACCCATCCATGTGAACTTCGTACGATTGGTCTCGCGATTAAAATCTAGCCTTAGTGTTTCTTCTGTTAAGGCTATGGAATGGTTGTTCTGGTCTCACTTTGCTATGCTGATGTGCTTTGGCCTGGCTATCGAGTATATTGTACACAGCGCGGGAGAAAAAACTTCGAAACGCACTAAACTGAAGATGGGCAGTGCAGTGTTCATACCGGGCGTTATGGGTTAACGCAATTCATTCTGCCCTTCCCAGCATATTCGTCGGACCTCTCGAAGCCTTTCCAACCACTACCATTTTTTTCCAATTCTGAAAATCCCTCGACAACCAGATCGCTTCGCCATAATAGTGTAAGTTTACTTTCACCTTCCTAGTAAACATATGAAGACCTTAATGATTTTTATTTCTGTCAGGATTTTCAATCCTCGTGGAAGATATCCAATAAATTAATGGCTACAGTTCTTTCAAATTGATAAAATCTTATCTAAATATCACAGTGGACATTCTACACACCTTACAGAAAAGCTTCCCATCCACCCGAAACTTAGCTTGCTGCAGAACAAAGTGCGATTCGAATTTCAATATATTGTAACTAGAATGGAAGATTTTATTAAACAAATTAAAAAAAACCATTGGAATCTACACACTTTTCTCAACAAGATTAAGTTTACTTGTCCCGGTAACATAGAATTCAGGACATCTGGAAGCGATGAATTCTTCGAAGACAGCCACAACGGTGCTGAGATATTGCAAAACTAGGAACTCCATGCCAGATTCGAACCCACAATTCCCTTCCTGGTGACTCAAGTGTTACCCACTGCACCACTGAAGCCCTTGATTTGCTCATCTCTCAGCCAGTTTCTTACCCTCCCGATTCCATCAGCATCAATGTGGTTGTATTTCACATATTTGCATGAGAAAATAATAGACAATGAATGAAAAGTCAAAAACGCTACAGTTTCTGATGCCTGTTGTTTTCCTCAGTGAGCTGAACCCTATCTCGTATAGAGTCCAGTGAAGTGCAGAAAATACTTGGCGACGACAATCACGATGTCATCCGTTCAGTTCATGTGGCCTCCAAACTTTCATACCCCAACAATTTCTTCCAAATAACGAACGACTGTCAAACTGCAAATGTTGAGCCTTTCTACACTCCTCAAATAGCTTCTAGATGTGCAGTTGCGATTGTTGGCTTCCTCAGATGGTCGTCGTCAGGTGCTCATAAGCGTGTACGACTTTCTTCGTCATGAAGGCTAACATCTGCGATATGGAGTCTTAAAGAACCATCTGAGCATTCTACGTCCGAAATACCTCCTCTAGCCTGCGATTCGACAAGATGTCGAGCTGTTCCTTTTGCTTTATGTGCAGGTTTGAGTATTACGTGAAGCAAAATAAACTTTTATTGAAACGATAGCATAGCTCCAGAACTGAATCATAGAAAATTCCTAGAAAAAAACTACATAGCTTACAGTTACATTGTCTATAAAACACTGCACCAGTAGGTAAAATAAGGTAAAAGTTTTGACATGATTGTAATATTAAATAGCTATCTACAATCCAAATGGCAGTGTCATTTAATAAGAACAAAGCCCCTTGACTCTGGCTTACCTCTTTGAATATTCCTTTTTGGAACCTGCCAAATTTCCTCAATACGCTAAAGCCAATGTCAGCCCCTACGTCATAGAATAGGTTACGATCACAACACCTCAATTCAGAGTACACAGGAAACCAAACGTAATTGTGCTGACAGTTCTTAAGAGAACAAGAGGCACATTATTAACACAAAACACCTAAGGCCTACACCAATGTCATTATTATAAGCACGGTTTTCATTCATAAACGATTGTCCATTTCGCCGGTTGTTCGCAGTTGTTCAATTTGTCAGGACACAACCGATTGAACGTGGTGTTCGGCGCGAATCCAAGAATCTCACGATCTTCCTGGATGCGGTAGGAAAACGTAGATACGTGACTTCCCACGAACACTCGGGCATGAGCACAAATCCACTGTAAAGGAGTAAAACTTCAAGCAGATGACAATTATAGTTTTGGAAAAACACCTAATCCATTATAGTTTCTAAAACTCCTAGAGCAAATACAATTTAAGGATTAACAAACCAATGAGACAAGGACACTCTAATTCTTTTGGCAACTGATTTTTGCCACTTACAGTGCTCATTTCATAATGCACAATTAACATAATCGCAACGATGTTGATTCTTCAATAAATCCACAATTTTTCAATAAACAGAATATTTGAGTAGTTCACGACTTTATCTACTTACGGAAGAGACTTTACTAAGCCCCTTAAGAGCTCCTAATGATCCTAAAGGAACTAGAATCAACTAACGGAAGCGAAAAAGAAACTTTGGGCTCTATACGGTAACAAATTCGTCACGGCGGGATAAGAAACACACTTTCTTAGAAAAGTTCTGTAGATCGTCATTCTTTATTTCTAGTAGTAGAGCTGAATATGAGCCGAGATATTTTGCTTAACACATTCTCAACGATGTGAATCGAGTTCAATGCAAACGTGGCCAAAAATGATTCAGCCACCCGACTTTAAACAAACCTATACCCCTTGCAAATTTCTCAGAATCATTACGGTTGTCCTTCACATAGTACACTGCCGTTAAAAAATGTAGACGGAGCAAATAAAAAAGTTAATCTTAACTCTTTTATTTACTGCCTTTTTCTTCTTAATCGCAGGGTATGTTGTGAAATATAACTCGTACGAAGTGCTGAGATACCTGCAAAACTCCGGACCACAGGTGTATGCAGTGGAGAACGAACACGCGCTGTTGTCCTTAGCGGGGAGCAGCGCACTTCACCACTACACCATTCGGTTCTCCACTGCATACACCTGTGGTCCGGAGTTTTGCAGGTATCTCAGCACTTCATACGAAAAAAGTTAATGTTTAACGTTTTGTTTTCTGCCTTCTATAATTTTCATGGCAGGTTACTAAGCGAAATACAACCACAACGTTGCTGAGATATTTGCAAAACTCTGGATCGCAGGTGTCTATGGTGGGGGACAAACGCGCTATTGTCCTTTCCGGGGAGTAACGCGTTCACCACCACACCATGCGGGTCCTTCGTTTCGCCTGTCTCTCAGCTATTTCTATCGATCTTTTTGCCACAGCAAAAAAGTTAAACTTATACCAGCTTATTGGGAACCTTAATATTTTAAATAGAAATAGAATCTGCATATCTTTGAAAACGAAATACAATCACTATTCAATCACGACAAGATTCCAAATTGTTGCAGGCCACGAGTTCTTCTTCTCTGCTTTTTTTGACGAGACACCCATCTTCAGCGGCGAATCGGTTGAACAACCGATATTTCGCCGAGTAATTAGAACACATAATCTTCCACAGCAAAGGATAATATATCATCAAAGCAACAGGGCACAGTTTATTCCAACTAACCTTCTAAGCTCCCAAGTCCTCATGTACCCGTGATAATCAGGTTTACCGAAAAATGAGCATCATCGCGAAAATGTTGATTTTATTGTCATTAATAAAATGTAAATGAATGTTGAGATCCACTCTACATTACGTTAACCCTCCAGTTTTAGGTTCTTCTATGGCACATTGTTTCGCGACTGGCTAAAAATAACAATAAATAAACAAACCTGATCAATAATCGCAACCGCTCCATCTGGTAGTGTCGAGTTTTTAAATCTTAATACAGGAACACGTAACATCGCGGACAACTGCTCCACCTCTGACTCTGACGCATCAGTGGCCAAAAAAATGCGCGTCACTCTCGCTTTTTCACAGAGGTCATTCAACTGAAAACAATTCAGGCAACTAAACCTTTCTAGGGACTCCAGATGATGATTCAAATCACTCTTCACTTTCCAACATAGAAACAACATAGAGCTTAAAAGTGTAAGGCTGTCGAGTTTATCAGTTCCTGAGGGATACGCCATGCACCCGATTTTATTCTATGTACGATAGAAGTAACTGAACATATATTTGGCTAGTAATTTATTTTATTCGATCCGTCTTCACGTCTACTGTGCAGATCCCAGCACTTCTCACATTCAATTCGCTTCCTCGCTTCCACTGTTCACGAAGATCTTCCAACTTTACGTGTGGCTTCGGCTGCTGCTTGAGGATTTTCATTTCATCTTGAATGTCGTAGAATGCTGTTCAAGGAATTCTCCCTGGAGTCCCGAGATAGCCGAACTGGAGCGTTTCCAACCAGAGAGTGATTTTCCCAAACAAGTCCGGTACCAATCCCCCGACACCGAAGAGATAACAGGCTTGCTTGGCCCCGGGGCGGAATCGAACAAGCACCATGCTCGTGACGACGGACATCACTACCACTGTGCTATCCACCCGACTTGGCTAGTAAAATAATTCGATGGTTTAACGATGTATCAAGTCAGTCCATTTCTCCTCAAAAATAAATTTAGTACCAATTTGCCGACCCCAAAATGACGGAAGCCTCAGTGAGCCATAGGCCCAGAACCACTCTTGTGTATTGCAGGACCTCTAACCACAGCCTTACACGCTTCAGAAACACTACCCATACAAGTCAATAATCAACGAATGGGAAAAATTAATGGAAACTATTAGTCCGCACAGCAAATAAGATATACATACACCCTAGAACCATTATATAGATTTTAGAACAATACAGAACAAACTAGTTAAGTCACAATGTTAACTTTCTATTCATTATGTATTCTTTCTTTGATGAGCTGACACGAGGTTGATAATGATATTTATTCATTTTCGGCTAACGTTTCGACGTCTTCATCTTCCTCAGAGCAGGTGATCCGAGTCGATGGTCCACGCTTGTTGTTCGTCTTGACGTTGCAGCTTCGCCTTCGTGTCGAGTCAGGTCTTCCTTAGTGAGCCATCTTCTCGAATCGTAGTGTAAACACAAACCACCCAACAAACGCCCACGACTACGCCTAATTTTCCGCCGCACACGCCGTGAGTCATATGCGATTCATTCGGTCCATTGTCTCCCAAACAAGTAAATCTATCTCTTTTGTCATACTTTCTATTCAGTGACTTGGTTTTTCAATGCTCTTTGTTGGTAGTTTGTCTTCCATAACAATTTTCGTAAATTAGCAAGTCCAACATATTGCTCTTATCGGACCGTTCCCGCCACCTAGGCGCATGTAATGCAACGGCTAGAATTGCCCTGCAATACACAACGGTCAGTAGAGTTAACCGGTCCCATTGGTCTCGGTTCACCAAGTCCTCCCTTACTAGTTTCCGTAAAATCTTACGACAGCCTTGTCCGAAAACACGGATTCAGTAGATTAGTAGGCCACCGTAAATAATTGTAGAGGTCAGATATCCTCAATTACCTCTACGATGCTCGATGAAGCCCAATGTATATGTACATCCCTCATATACTGATCAACTACAAACGCTCCATTCCCTTCTAACTCCCGGCATCAATACCTCCGATGGATAAACTATCAAGTGAATAAATAACTTTTAGGTAAACAATACAGTCCGGCATAATAACCAACCATAAATAAAATGTGTGATAATTCATACAGCTCCTTGTGTAAAAAAAAACCTCCGTTCAAAACCATTCAATGAACTCCTTTGAAATCAACTTTACTCTGTCACCATGGAAATCAACTTTACTCTGTCACCATGCGTAGAACAGAAAGTCGGATGTGGGAACCACTTATATCTGTCGGGTGAGTGGAATTAACTTAGCATGGGTCGCAAGAGGGCCTAGCAAAGAAATGGTGCCTCTGTAAATTACTCGACGATTAACCTGTTTCTAGACGACTTGTTATAAAGGTGATTCTTCAGAAAATTCTTGCAGCACTCCGCCGCCCTGCATCTATCACAGAAGCCGATAGATGTCTGTTACGGATTTCGTGACGCCAAAGGGATGAAGGGATCGGATGATTTAACTAGCGAATCAAACTTGCCCATGTCCAATTGAATATTTGTACTTATGGCACCGCATTGCGATTTTCGCTCCAGCAGTAGCTCACTGTTTCAAGTTCTTATACTGCCTTCTTTCGAATCAACAACAGTATGGATGTCTCAGTAAAAATTCAACCTAACACTATGAACAACAAAACAAAATAATTACACTTAGAAAAAAATGACTGACTTGTTTTGCTGCGCCGTTTATACTTGGCAATTCATCACCATGAGCCCGTACGAAATCTCTACGTCTCCAGTGAGCACAAAGGAAGTTACCACCTATAGCATCACGGTTCTTGACGTCATTTCGGGAGACAGCGAGCTGGGTCCTATCCTGCTCATCGGTGGATTCGAGTTGCGATTCTCTACATATGGGAAACAAAATTGTAATTACCAATTACATTCATAATATATTCATTTAAACATCGCTCGCAACGCTTGCAATTTGTCGTTAGCGGGAACTGGCAGTGGATTAGGCCTAACGAGATTCCTCAACAACTCCCGATAACTTCCTGATAAGTAGACTATGGGAGAACCTGAGGCCTTATCGAAAATGCTTTTAACTATCCCATTAAGGGCATAGATAGATTCCCTAAGAATTTTCTCTCATTTTAAAGTTTGCTCAAATTTGAAATTTACGAACAACTGAAAACGAAATTCATTTTGTGAGCTTTCAGTGCAAGCATAAGAGCTGCAAACATTTGCTGGGTAGTAGAAAAGTCACCATGTAGTTCTCGGTGAAACCACAACTGTATTAAACCAATTCGGTGTTCGAAATAACAGCCTCGACGAGAAAAAAAGGGAAGAATGGATGCTTTATGTATCCCAAAAATCGGAATTTTACTGCTGTAGACTAAAGTAAAATTGCAGCTTGTTAAAAAACATCTGAAAAGATGGCTTTCCTCTCAATTAATAATAAAAGTCACAGTGATAGGATATATTGTTAAAAGCTGAGACGCGCAACTGTTTCAGGGACGCATACCCTAAAATAAATGCATGTTTATTTAAATGATCTTATAAACCGATCTTCCTAAGCTGATGCGAGGTTGGCACAGGTCTTCGTTGTCCTTGTCGTTACTGTTGATGTTGTAGGTCGATGGCCGATGTTTCGACAACTTCGCCTTCTTAAGAACATGGACACATTTTATATTACAATATTTTTATTATTTGGTGGGAAAAAGGTTAAAGTATTAATGAAGATCAAACTTTTAAATAGACGCCATATTGAACAGAAAGGCCACTCACCGTGATGTTACGTGTGGGACTGACCCACACATAGTTCACGTGGGGTCGCGAGCAAGACACGCCCCGGGGTCAAAATATCATTTTGAAATAGGGCGCTAGGTCACGCGTGATAGTGAGGCATTCGTCCTTCCGGTTCATCTTTGGAGTTTTGAAATTTATCCAAAACGCCTCAAGAGTTTTGCGCGTTGATGTTTTTGATTCCTGCGCTCGGACCCGCACATTCACTTCAAAATCATCGCCGTTGTGCCTTTGTACTCTATGCGTACCTAGAGGAGTGTTTTGACGGATTTCAACTTTCCCATCTAGATGTTCTTTTATGCGGACACAAAGTGGTCTTCCCGTTCCTCCATATATATTCCTCACCGTATGCGTTACATGAGATCAAAAATATTATGCCTACACTCATGCAAACCATGTCTCTCCCGTTAAGACAGAACATACAGTTTTCTGAGCTGTACAAACGAAAAGACGGTTGCGAACTAATTAACGACGTAGGGTATTGGGTTGGATGTCAATAATCGTTACATAATCTTAACCCTTTTATTTACTCTCAGCTAGTTCTATCGATCGACAGGCAAAGCGAAGGACCCGGATGGTGTGGTGGTGAAGTGCGCTGTTCCCCGGTAAGGACAACAGCGCGTGTTCGTTCCCCACCGCATACACCTCCGGTCCGGAGTTTTGCAAATATCTCCGCATTATGCACGAATCGTTACATAATTTTCAAGACCACTTTTTCTTAAGCACTTTTTAATGGCGTGACTTACTTCATTTGATATGAAGGGTAGCTTAAAGGGGATCTTACTTTCGTCTGAAATATTATCTTGGGAAACTATCCTACTTTTTTCTCTAACCCGAGTGGCTTCTACTTCATAGCCATTGGAAATGGCTATTTTTCGTGCCAGGTTTCGCGATTCCTTCCTTTCCTCTTCTCCTGTACACACATTTTTAGCCGTACGATACATGTTTTTGATAAGTGCTTTTTTCATGTGTGGAGGATGAGAGGAGAGGCAGTGAACTAGAATGTTTTTACTACTTGGCTTGCAATACCATTTTGTTAAATAGCCATTCACTGAGAGCTTTATTTGGATGTTTAAGAATGGAAGCCAGTTCTCGGTAGGTTTTTCTCGTGTAAATTTTATATACTCTGACTGTCGGTTTAATAATTCAAAGCACTCATCCATCTGTTCTTGTGTGGAACAGACGATGAAGCAGTCGTCTATGTATCGACAGTAGAGTAAGGGTCGGTGATCGAGAACTGGAGCTTCCACCTTAGACATGAAAGCGATGGCAAGGCTTGGTGCTAAACGCTGCCCCATGGCCAACCCTCTAATTTGTGCAAAATATTTTCCAGACCACCTAAAGATTGAACAACTAAGACACTGTTTTAAGAGGGACATTAGTTGTGCAATCGACGAGCCGTGCATTTTTATTTTCTTTTCATGCTCTACGAACAACTCGAGAATGGCTTGCATTGCGGAGTCATTGGACACGTTGGTATAAAGTGAACTAACATCGAATGACTCCATTATATGCGTGCTGTTTGGTTTCGCGCGCCTTAGGTGATCTAGAAATATTTTGGTGTTAGGTAGATGGGTTGGAATGAATTTTAGCAGCTGGGTTAGGATAAGATTTAGAAACCACGTTATTCTATCCGTTGCCGCCTATACAACTGATGATAGGTCTAACTTTAAATGATGATGGGTTCGTTAATGTAATATCATCAATTGAAATGAGCTTATGTGTTTAATAAGCAAGTAAAGCACAGGACAAATCGGATGTTCGTTTTTAACTCGAGAAATAACTGAAGGCTCTAAACCCGCGGCCTTTGCCGTGCTGACCCATTCTTGATTTAATTTTCGGTATTGGTTTCTATATTCCTGTTCAGAGGATGTTCAATAGAGAGAAACATCACTGAGGTGCTCCTCTGCTATCCTAATATCCAACTGACTAGGAATAACTACAAATTCTCCACCTTTATCACTAATAGAAAGTCTAACAGATTTTGAACTCAAAAGCTCTCTAACCTGGCGCATACCACATTTTTGTTGGTGTGTGAGGTTGGAGCTTATTTTTCTTTTTTGGTAATGATTAAGTATGCGGCGAATTTCGTCCGAAAATAAACGAAATGTAGGGTCAATATCGCTATTTGGTAGCTCTTTTTTAAAGAAAGTTCGGGAAAGAGGTATTGGTGGTAGTTCTCCCCTTGGTACTACTTTAGCTAACCTTTCTAGCCTAGCCCTGTAAAATAGCTGATCTTGAAGTTCATGCAGACGTTTCCAATGGCTACGATGTAGAAGCCACTCGGGTTAGGGAAAAAAGTAGGATAGTTCGACAAAATAATATTTCGGACGTAAGTAAGATCCCCTTTAAGCTACTCCTCATATCAAATGAAGTAAGATACGCCATTAAGAGATGCTTAAGAAAAAGTGGTCTTGAAAATTATGTAACGATTACTGACATCCCACCCAATACTCTACGCCTTCAGCTAGATCGCAACCGTCTCTATGGTCGTTTGTGAAGCTCAGAAAACTGTATGACCTGTCGTAACGGGAGAGACGGGATTGCATGAGTTTAGGTATAATATACTTGATCTCATGTAACGCGCAAAACTCTTGAGGCGTTTTGGATAAATTTCAAAAATCCAAAGATGAACCGGAAAGACGAATGCCTCACTATCACACGTGACCTGGCGCCCTATTTCAAAATGATATTTTGACCGCGAGGTGTGCCTTGCTCGCGACCCCACGTGAACTATGTGTGGGCCAGTCCCACACGTAACATCACGGTGAGTGGCCTTTCTGTTCAATATGGCGTCTATTTAAAAGTTTGATCTTCATTAATACTTTAACCTTTTTTCCACCGAATAATAAAAATATTGTAATATAAAATGCGTCCAGGCTCTTAAGAAGGCGAAGTTGTCGAAACGTCAGCCATCGACCTACAACATCAACAACAACGACAACGACAACGAAGACCTGTACCAACCTCGCATCAGCTTAGGAAGATCAGTTTATAAGACCATATAAATAAATATATCAACTATCTATGCTGAGGTTTATAGAAAGTCGGTCTTTCGAGTTATTAAATGCATGTTGTTGCAAATACTTTAATTACCAATGTGCGTGGCAGGATAGGTCGGCGCAAACAAGTGGACCGAGAAAGAGACTGTATTGCCGCAGGTTACACCGTCGCCGACAGAATAACATACTATAGCTAATCCCCTAGTAATCAGCATCTAACAAGTCCCCTAGTGCTTAGTGCCATAGTTATGGCTGAAAAATCATGAAAATTTGATAATGTAGTAAGAATAAGACGTATTACACAAGGAGTTCTTATTTACAAAATATACACTAAAACAACGTGAAGATAAGAGGAAAGATGGACGACTAACCTAAAGAAATCGCCAATTTCTACAAGATGCTTTGCATAACGCATACTTCGTCGCGCTTGCCAATAATGCACGTCGCCGTAGTGCTGATGCAGAATAGCTTCACCACGATCGATGAAGATGCTTGAACTGAAACACGTACGCACTTTATGCTAGAATTCTGGGCAGATGATGCATATGGTGACCTTGTGCATCTGGATCCTCCTATTTCACACTACTCACAAGAACAACACAACCATTACTGAAAACATTCGCATTCGGAGCATTAGTACCGCAGTAGTTGAGATGTCGGGCTACAATACCCGCATCGCCTTGGTTCGACTCCATCGCAATCCAACCAACCCTCCCATCCCAAAGAATTTTCATTCGATCCACAAAGGCTGATAAGTGCACTGTGATGATGACTTGGAAACTCCCTAGTTGGACCATTGTGGGATTCCAGGGATAATCTACTTCAATAGTATTCAACAACGTGTATGAAGAAAACTAAAACCCTGAACTAGCAGTGGAACCTAAACGAAAATCTGAAGCCCTTGATGGAAGACCGATACAAGAATGCAAATTTAACGTAGAAAGTACTAAGATCAGCACCACGGTACAGTTATATAACATAAAAAGTAAAAAAAAATATATTTGCAACCATTGACGGTACCGGCGACATATTCATTTGTTTACATAAACCTATCTTGCTATAGCAAGCGACGGAAAAGCGACCGAAATTCCGCGCTCAGATCAGTATGCGTAGTTATGGGAGACGATTGCTTTTTCCCTACGAAGCTCTATTCTCCTCCTCGCCATACTAAAGCCGCCGACCGCTGTCCATATTGCTCAGTGGCTCATTTTATACAGGAAGCCGATTGTCACGATTAACTGTGTGTGCCTGGTGTTAAATAATAAACTGAAGTGTATTCATTTAAGCAGCATCATGTATTTCCTTAATGTGAAGGATTTCTATCCGACTAGTGCTAGGAGTTTCGTCACTAAAGTTAGAGATATGAGGTCGAAAATGAACTAAAAGCAACTGAATATCGACCATGCAATACGGATAAATCGATCGATAACACTCCATTTACAGTCCATTAACATGTAGTTTGATTATACCATACACGAAAATATTGATGGTTAACAAGTTCAAATGATTTCCATTAAAATTTCGAATAGAATTCACTACTTCCAATTGTTACATTGTCCTAAAACCGTAGCCCAAAGAAGTAGTCGGATTCGTGCACGAGTTTGGTGCAGCTTAGGGATTTGCCGATATGACTTCCTCTCATACATTTTGAACTCGAGTTGAGTGCGTATTTCCAAATAAAATCGCGGTATAACCATGTCAGGAATTTTTTGTCTTTCACCATAGGCGGTTACCGTCCCTTCAGGCATGCAGCAAGGTTCAATACCTTGTAGAATTTCTGCAGAACAACAATAATTATTCTGGCATTGAGCAATTCCGTGATTATCCAACCGAACAGGTCTACAACGTTGCATTTGAAAATCCGAAAATCCATCGACAGATCAGTGGGGCTTCTGATCATACTAACTTGTCTCCACGTTCAGACGCTTTTTGCTACTTAACAAAACAAACAAAAATATTTTTTGAGCAAAATAAGAAACTACAAATTCGTATTAACAAGCTAAAATTAAGATTTCTTCAAAAGTGTAAGATAAAAACAGAAGACAACATAAATAATGAAACAGACAGGAAGGAAGTCATAATTCATAATAAAGACACTCACGTCTCAGGGTACTGGTTTAAGATGAGTTTCTTCAATGTTTCCGAATCTCCTTGGATCGATATGCACTCGAATTTTTTCGCACGAACCTCGTCATAAGAAAAGAACCAGCCACGCCTTTGGAAATAAAAAAAATGGATTTTAAGGAATCGAAATAGAAAAAACGGTCTTGAAAAAATCAAAAATTTTAACAACCACCTATAGACCTATAAGTTCATTCTACCAGAAGGTGTTAATTTTCTTACAGTATGAAGCATATCTGGACCATACGGGGCTGACAGTAACCTAACCTTATAATTTCAACGGGTGTATTTGCCTCAGCGATAACATTACCTATCGAATTAAAACCATAAATAACTGTGTCTTTGCAAACATGTTGAAAGTTTCATCTATTTCATCCAATTAATGTGCTACGTTTCTGAAGCTTTCTTCCGTTTATCGTCGTTGAACCTCGCATGTCGCATGTTGTCAATCGAACAAGCAGGATTTCCTGAAGTAGGACACAATGCTATCTCCAATTGAGTGGTTCGTCATAGCTGATGCTCACTTGTATTAACGGATAAAGGATAAAGCTCTCGACGTTGATCAATCCCTGAGGGATGCACCATGCGTTCGACTTCATTAAGCATCAACTGGGGACGATTGAATGCATATCTGGCCTTTATAATGATTCGAATTGACCTACCGATGTGACGAGTCAGTGTTGCTATCCTCCCAGACAAGTGTGGTACCAGTTCGCCGACCCCGTAGGGATGGAAGGCTCGGTGGGCCATGGGCGCGGATCGATTCCACGTGTGTGTTGCAGGGCGCCTCCGTTTCGACGTCTTCGCCTTCCTCAGGGCCGACGATCCGAGTCGATGGTCCACGCTTTTTATTCGTCTTGATGTAGCGCCTTCGCCTTCTTTCTAGTCAGGTCTTCCTCAGCTGGCCATCTCCTCGAATGAGGCATACTCACTCGGTGATGCCCTTTTATGCAAGATGCTGATGGTAGATATAATGATAATGTCCGGTGATAAAAGCTTGTTTTTCATCCAGACAATCCATCCCGCAGAAGTCGGTGTTATTACCAGCTAGCACAAAGCGTAGTAATATCTCGAAACCGACCTCCCTTTAACCTCGGTTTGACTAATCAATATGTACTTTTTCTACAGCACATATAAATATATTTGTCAATCTCGTGCAAACTCATAAAAGAAAAAGAATATATACATATTTGTTGTTATAAAACCTTCTCATAAGTTTACAAATGCTTTGGAAGATCAGGTATTACAAAATGAGTGAAAATACCTTTAAAAATCTACCATAAATGTCCTTCCCTGCGATAGAAACGCGAGCCTTCAATACATTCCCTCCGGTCGTATTTCAATATGTAATCGTCACTCCAGCCTTCCTTGTAGTGTTGCAGATAAACAACTTGATCTATTAACGTGCCATATTCTATAAAACGTATTTAAAATGCACCATTCCATCGGTAGCATTCTAAATTCTCCATTGTTTTTCTAAGATGTTTCTGTAGATGGATGTATATATTATATATATATATATGCTTGTATATAAATGCATATACACATGCATATGTATGTACACATATTTATACATATATACATGTATGTATACATATATGTATATATACCACGGGCCTGACTCACAAAGGCATCTCATGCCGGTTGGCCACCAGGCAACGTGGCGCGACACCAAGTGACGAATAGAGAGTTAATCATGGACCAACAGCGACCTTCTGTTCCCTTGATACCCAGATTACTAAAGCGAATGGGCTACTGTTCCTGCTGCGCCGATTTGGCATATACTTTCTGTGAATAAGAGGACGTACTCATGCATGCGTCCGTGAGTGTGTTCTCGTTCATGTGGATTTCATTCTACGAGTGAACCCAGGCAAAAGCGTACAAATCAAGTGACTTGGAAATACCTGGGAGGAAGTTAGGAGTCGCCTCCAATGAAAAATCTCGTCTTCTCTGGAAAAGACTGGCAAGCTACCTGTGACTGTACCCAGCCTACATGGTCAGTGCTCGAGCAAGCTATACATAGGTATTAAATGCTAAACACAGTTAAATAAATTGGCCTCAGTCCCCTAACTTGAAAAAATATCCTATGCGGCAACGTTGGGTAGGACGAGTAAGGTTAGCTTGCTAAAATCTTAGAGCCATTCTAACCTGCCTAAAACGGAGGGGACTAAGGTGACGATCTGTGCCTAGAATGCACGCGTGTATGCATCTCGGCCTTCGATACTTGATCACGCAGACAAGAAGGATAACGAACGATGCCATCAGACTGGCTGAGACAAGAAGACGTTGCTCATTTAAAGCCGTATATGACACCGGTAACGAACTGTTCCTCGGAACACGCAACAGTCGAGGAGTCAGCGGTGTCTGCGCTCTCGTCAACACCAGTTGTGCCATGAACATCGATTAATCCGAATGACAACCCAAATCGGAAGCTTACAGTAGAAGTGATACACATCAATACCGGCTTTGACAATCTTCTCCGTCAACGCACTGACATCAAGCTGTGAGAAAGTGAAATTCAGATTCTCTACATTGACTTGGAAAACTACACAGAAGATCCCATATTCTTTAAGGTTATCATTGGAAATCTTAACGCTAAAACTGGACCTAGAAGAGAACATTGAGACCCACTGGTTATAATGGAACGAGCAAGGTGAGCGCCTGCATGAGCTTTTCATGATGGCCAAGACAATTCACCCGCGATTCCAGAAGCCCCACTTTCAACGCTGGACTTGGGTGTCTTCAATGGGGAGTACCATAACGAAATAGACCACATCATAGTAAATAGAAGGTTTTGCCTAACCGCTGTCGCTGTTGTCCCAAAATTCTACACGGGATCAGACCACCGTCTACTCCGTACAAGACTCTATTTCTCGCAGGAAGGAGAAAAAGCCGCTAAATTCCAAAATCGTGGTCCCACAACCACCTTAAACTGGGATTTATTCAATTCATTAGTCGGCTGTTGGGAAGATACCGTTGTCGATAACATCGCCGAAGAATACAATCGGCTCATTCAACATCTTCACGTTAACGCTATGAAAGCTGAGAGTCCGAAAGTCACCAAGAAACGTCTGTCTCCAGAAACAGCAGAGCTGATACGCCAGTGTGAAATCGCACGTGCTATAGACAACCGCCAATTCACTTCGGAACTTGCAGAACTTCACCGGCTGTAAGGACAAGATTATTGCACTTCGACAGGCAGACATATCGGTTACAGCTTCGAGAAAAACAATAATGAAAATCGTTTATGATTACTACTCCATTCTCTTCAATAGCCACGTCCTCCTGCCTGCGTATGAAATAGAGAAGGATTGATATATCGTCTCACTGGCTCACTGGCTCTCCTTTACAAAATCTGAAACGGTACCTCGTCGGTGAGGAATCGAACAACACCTGGTCCGATCAGCATAAGGCTTAAACACCTAAAGAACATTCAGCCAGTCCTCTTCAACACACCTGTTCGGCTCTTCACACGTTATCTGTCGGAATGTAAGGTTCTCATTCAATGAAAGAACAGCAACACCGTGTTATTGTCCAAGAACGGTGAGCTTCACGATATCGACAATTCTCGCCCAATTTGCTTGTTGTTTGTCTTCTATAAACTCTTCATGTGAGTAATTCTTAACAAGATTGGAAGAATGGATGCTGTACGAAGAATAGCTATGTAAGCAAGCAGGTTTCGAAAAGGATTCAGTACGATGGACCACATCCGCACGATAACAAGACTCATTGAAGTGTCGCGAGAATACAAGAGACAGCTACGTCTTGCCCCCATTGATTTAAGGAAAGGTTTTCACTCAGTTGAGATAGAAGCACTCATGGAAGCGCTGGATAGCCAGGACGTGGCTACTCAGTATATGACGATTGACTGCGATCTATGTGAAAGAAATTTACAAGCAAAATATCACCATCCTATAACGATATTACTTCGGGATCTTTCAACAGCATCGAGGATGTAGTGAAGGGAACAAAGAACACCAGATTTCGTGTCCAACTTTTCGACTCCACGATTCTTCCCGCCTTAACTTCAGAAGCCTAGTAGCTGTGTAAGCATCATGGAAGATCACTCAGCGATATTGAACGTGTAGTCGAAAGCATGTTGCTAGGAGAATCCTCAATTGTGACCTACGTCAACGGTCAGAAGTCAAAAACGCCATTCTACACGTCACATTGTCGAAGATAACGTTGGCCAGACAAGTAAGGTCTTTAACTGACAACGGATGGACGAGAGTCGTTAATGACTGGATTCCTCGGGAGGTCAAACCTACTGCAGGAACACCACCGACCCTATGGTCAAAGTTCTTCACGAAAAACCTGGAAGAAAAGTACGATGCTTGAGTCCTTAGAGCAAGCAGAACAACTCACTAGTACTGCAAGCGACAAGGATAAGTGGAAGACGTAGTGACGCCAGCTTGAGAGTCAGTCGACGATCAATAGGCCGAGGGATGACAGATTATATACGTACATATATAGTCCCACTTATAGTTCGTGGTGCACTTATGCACTTATACTCGAATACTTTAAAAAAGTAGCAAAAAACAGTTGTATGGGAAAACAAAGTTGCTCTGTTCGTCGTGCTCGTCATTTTACATTTAATGCAAATGTCATCGAAAATTTGCTTGTGGGCAAGCGATTCACCTTGTAGATAATCTTCGAATTCTAGAACAGGCACAAATTCGTTCAAGCTTTTCACATCGAAGAACTCGGACCACTTCAATCGTACGTTTGGTTGCTTCCAATGGTAGAGACCTCCCCAAGGTGGTAGCACCAGGATGAACGGCTCTCCTGTAGGTTGTTAGCTTAATTTGTTAGTAGTAGAACAGCAATAGAAATAATTCTTCTGAAATTACGCTGTATTATCTGATGCATACCAGAATACCAAAAAGAATTTCCGTTGTATTACCTTCGCGAGTTGCAAAGTTATCTCGAGGAATTTAGAAACTCGGCCAAGAGAATATATTCACGCTGTGGCTTTTTCGAAACCTAAGGAGCACCTCTAACTTTCAAGGTGACGAGTTCCATCGGGATATGAAAGTAATAATCGCTTGTGATGCAGAAAAACTCAGCACAACTATTTTAAGATCACAAGCGACGAAGCGAACGGCCCATCTTCACCTGTATCACTTGTATCACCCGTAGTCCCTTTGATCTTCGAGTGACTCGAGCGGGCGCCAGTAATCTTCCATTTTCCCTGTCGCGTGAAAGAGTAACCCAGTGGGTTCTGCTCGCTCTAGGGACTCCTCGAGCATCATATCTTTCGCCTAGGCTCTTCGTGAAGAACTCTGACCATCGGGTCGGTGGTCTTCCTGCAGTACGTTTGACATCCTGAGGAATCCAGCCACGAACGGCTCTTGTCCATCGGTTGTCACTAATACGCATTACGTGTCCGGCCCACCTTATCTTCGACTGTTAGGCGTACAGAAAGGCATCTTTGATTTTTGATCGTTGACGCAGGTCGGAGTTTCGGAAACCATCCCTTACTTGAGTGAAACGGGATACCCCTAGCATCGTCCTTTCGACCGCGTGTTCGATAACGCTGAGTGACCTTTCAACCTGATCACGCAGCGACCAGGTTTCTGACGCATACGTTAGGGCAGGAAGTACCGTTGAGTCGAATAGTTCTGTTCTCTTCACTGCATTCTCGATGCTCTTAAAAGCTTCCCAAGCTGCTCGTTTCCTTCTGCTCAGCTCTGGAGCTAGGTCGTTCATTATATTGATTTCCCGACCTAGATAGACATAACTGGAGCATGACTGGAGCATTCGGAGATATTCGTTCCGTTGAGCATGAATGGGGCATGAATGAGGCATACGGTACATCTTAGCTCAGAATAAGCTTCACTAATCGAAAAAAAACTTTAGAATCTGCACATTATTGCCAACGAGAAGCAGGTTTGGTTACACGGGTTGAATAAAATTCTGGACATCTAGGAGAGATGAAGTCGTGCAAGGCAGTTTTGGCCTCCACTTTGGTTCCGATACATTTCTCATAAAGAGTTTAACAAAGATAATCTTAGCCTTTTTATTTACTGCCTATTCTTTTTAACGGCAGGTTATTTTGCGAAATATAACTTCTATAATGCTGACATATTTGCAGAACTCCGGACCGCAGGTGTCAGCGGTGGGGAACGAACGCGCTATTGTCCTTTCCGGGGAGTAACGCGTTAGATCGCTGAGAGACGGGCGAAATGAAGGACCCGCATGATGTGGTGGTGAACGTGTTAGTCCCCAGTAAAGACAATAGCGCGTTCCCTCCCCACCACAGACACCTGCGGTCCGGAGTTTTGTAAATATCTCGGCATCATTGAAGTTAACAAAGATACTTGAAGTAGTATACGGTAGGCGAACAGTTTGAGGATTATGGTGGATGAGGCAGAGTTTCGCAGTCTAGCTCGTCTCGCTAGTGCCACGCTTGGCTCATTGTTTTGTTAGAGGATTTATGCCTTTCTGCTAGCCAATTTGTGGCGCAGCCGCTGAAGTTTTTGGTGTACTTTGTCGATTTGCCAGACGTGCTTCTGCGCCGCAGTAGTTTCACAAGGATTGAAGAAGCTATCATGAATCAAAGAAGCTGTAGATTATCAAATGTACAGCACGACCTTCTTTTTGCACAATTCCGTAGTACAGAAGTTCTGTGCAGATTAATCGCGGTCTAATCACTGGGTCGATCATTGGAGTTCTCAGAGTACGCATTTTCCTTATATATAACAGCAAGGTCAAGAAACGAGTCGTTCTACTTGCGCAGAAGAAGCATCGACTATACCTCCAAACGGCGATATTAATTCGTGCAGTACCTATTTATCGAGCTTCCTCGACTTTTAAATGTTCTTTAAATATTCAAGAACAGCTAAGATGCTTATATCGAGTTCCTCTGAAAGTCCTCGAAGAGTGGTGCTTCTATTTCCTTCCACCAAGCCCTTCGGTTTGTCAAAAGCGGAAGGACATCCATGACCGCCCTCATTTTCAATGAAATCCCGAAGACGAAATTTTTCAAACTAACTTTGCATTGTGAGTTCGAAAACAATTTTAATTTATTACTTACTGCCCATTCTTTTTAATGGTAGGGTATGTTGCGAAATATAGCTTCAACGATGTTGATATTCGCAAAACACCTCAGGTGTCTGCGGTGGGGAACGAACCCGCTATTACCCTTTCGGGGGAGTAATTGTAATTATAACTACAGCCTTAGCTTAACTGGGTTCATTGCCGATTTGGACTCCTCAGATCAATCCCGCTGATGGGTAATTGCTGATGGCACTGTTCGACAGAACTAGCTGAGACACAGGCGAAACAATAGACCCGTATTGTGTGGTGGCGAACGCGTTAGCCCTCATAAAGGGCAGTAGTGCATTTGTCCCCACCGCAGACACTTGGGATCTGTCGTCCTGAAAACATTTCAGTATCGTTGGAGTTATCTTGACCAGTTTCTGGCAAATCTCCACGTCATCGTTGTACAGAAGTCTACGTTAAAATTCTCTGTAGTGTTGGTTAAGGATTACGGTTATCACGAGCGATCAGAAAGCATTGCTCATAGTATACAAGGAAGAACGAAGAGTGAAAATAAGGATTATACTGAGTCCAAGGTTCTAACTCTAACAAATCGCTCATCGGATCAGATGGAAATCGCAGCCGTTACCAAGTTCCGTTCACGAAATCTGAATGCGAGTATGAAAATTGCAGAGTGCTAAACACTGCGGCGGTTCAAGTGAAGGTATGAAACCAGTTTTACGATTTCTAGTAACACATGAGATGATAAGCATGGTACTGCTGTCAAGAAATTTGGAGGTACATCACGTGATTATCCACAAACACAAGCGATGTGTTCGACAAGACGTGCCTTGAAGGATAAAGAATAAAGCTCTCCGCGTTAATTAATTCATGCGGGATGCGTCATGCATTCGACCTCATTAAGCACTTGGATGTGATGATTGAATGCATATCTGGGTTTTACGATGACTCGTGGTGGCCTACCGATGTCTCGAACCAGTGCTGCTAACTTCCCAGATAAGTCTAGTACCGATCTGCCGTCCCTGGAGATGGAAGGCTTAGGTGTGGGGATCGATCCTATGTGTATGTAGGGCGCCTCCGACCACCGCGCAACACGTGTCCCTTTGGTGCCTTATCACTACAAAATTATAACAATTTAATTCTGGGACAAAACGACTTTGCCGGGATGCAATGAATATTCTTCCTTCTTTGCATTGAAAATTGCATACGATGTGAATCATTACATTGAAAATCTCAGATGATACATCCTGATGAATGTCGTTAATCTTTAACGGTAACTAGCAATACTTACTGAATAGAATGGCACAGAACTACTTACCAGCTTTTCTAAGCAATCTTACAGCATTAGCAATGCGCATGTAAACGTCTCTTCTAAGATTGAACCCTTCTCCATGATTCACATCATAGAGAAGGAATCTTCTATCCCGAGCCACTGAATATCTCTCATTGTTGACTAACGATACAGTATCCCCGTCACATAGAGAATAACAGACGTATATGATCAGAATCCAAGCCAATGTGTACAACATGTATTCTGTGAAATGCGACTATATCAGATACTTTCGTCAGTGATACTACTCTAAATATGAAAGCAGAAAGAAACCCTAAAGCACAGGAACATCGCCACCGTTTAAGGCATACTTTAGTCATATCGACAAAGACTTCATATCGGACTAGAAAAAGATCAATATCACATAGAAAGGAAATGATAGCGAATCTAGTGAAGGAAAAAGATACATAGTGGTCCGCAATGGGACCAAAATTTAAAGTAGTTTAATAAAGCTTCGAAAAGCCTGATGAGATTTATTACGCTAAAGCACACGACAGTAGTAAAAGCTCTCCTCAGTAACATATGTTGATAAGAAACATAAAAAATTAAAATATGTACAGCGAAGGAAAAGAGAGAAAAACTCTGTAATAAAGTGGAATGGTAGGCGCTCTAGTCATTTCTTTGCTATGAACCGCGTTATTGTTCCCCCATGTTTTGAAGACGATCCACCTGTGGATCGAGGAAGAGTGTTACACGCAGCAAAACCACTGTAGGGTTCTTCGCGATGTATATCCTCAAAACAAAACGATAACCTATGCGAAAGTAAATTATAGTATAAAGCAAACACTAACTTGACTTTGAGACATCGACAATGACAATCTGGTCAGCGTATTGTAATGATCAAACGGAGCATCTCCTTGGTCACCATCCAGGTATGAGATAGCTGAAATCGAGCTACGTACACTTCTAAACAGACAACATGACATTGGAACTTAGATGAAAAGGACTTAACGTTAAAATAAAGGCTTCCACATAGCACTTACATTTCGACATGGAACGATTTTCCGCGCTATAAAGCTCACTAGCTACCCTTATTTTATGAATCCACCTAGAAAAAAAGAAAATAGATAAGAACCAGAAATTCTTCGACTTCCACCCACACAAAACACAACGTAGAGACTTTTTATCCTCACATTCTCATGTCGTTCTGATTATAGCAGGAGAAATGCTGCTCCATTGGAGGTTTCGACAATCGAAAAACACTAGACAAATATGTAAACACCAAAAGTTGTTATAGTTTAAAAACTTCCAACTTTTGTGCTTACAACTTCTTCGATGTTTTTAGTTCAGTTGCGTCAGATACAATGCACTTGGCAACATTAATTGTCAAATCGGCACGACGAGTCTAAACAAGAAAAACAAGTAGTCCAATTTTGAGAGTTATACCAAAGATAAGAGTGATGTGAATAAAAACATACAAACTGAGTTGGATAGATATTGAGATAAGGTCCACGCAAACACATCCAACACCTTGGCCACTTATTAGTAACTTCGTTTACCAACAATTCGTTTGCGGTTTTTCTAAAAACGAGGAACAACTTGTAAATACCAGTGCTAAACTATCTCTTAAAATCAGTGATATGAAGGGTGATGGAGACGTACCTTCTTCTGACCCAACCTTCGAAGGTCTTCTCGGCTGCTTTCATTTCTGGGGTGCTTGGTGTTGGAGGTGTATCCTCATTATTCCAATCACCTGAGACTGTCAGGCGGTACTGAGTTGGGCTAGAAACTGAAGACGTGGGTGTGACAGATGTTGGACTAGGCAACACCCACAGATCTTCTCCACTTGTAGCAGGAGCGCATCTAAACAAAGAGCCACTACTAGCATAACGCATATTTTAAAAACCAAACATGGAACAACAAAAAGTATAAAACGCAAAGAAAGTAAAATACCTCGGTGAGTCAAGTATAAGTCCTGACAGATTAGAATCACCTGCAGGTGCGCGAAACCTCTGCAGTGATCTTTCCTCATACGGCGCACACCACTCAGGATCAGAGCAACTAGGTACCGTAATATTTAAACGACACAATTCCGCTGGTTCAACTATGGACACCTCAGCAAATTCAGTTGGACCTGGAACCAACGGCACACTATTAGTGTACTCATCAATTTAGTATTACAGGAATATTAAGGAATACACGTTTAAAATCACAAAGGCGGAGAAAAGAAAAAAAACCGAAATAAAAAGTGCTGCTAAGGTCTAAGAAAATACGACCAAGAGTGTTTAGAATCAGAAGACCTAACGCATCATGACATTAATTCATTCTCAACGGTCATTTAGGCTAATGCGCTTCCTCTTTTGAATACTGGGCCAGGCAAGACTAGGTTACAACTCAAATGAAGTGTTCTTTTTTGCAGTACACTTTGTCTCAAATATGGTACGAAGAGTGTAGAGCAATAGTCGAGGGCGTCCCGTAATATACATGGAATGGATCCCACGCCCCAGGCTCACCAAGCCTTCCATCGCTCCGGAGTCACTGGTACCAGACTTGTCTGGAAGGAAAGCTGCGCTGATTCGACACATCGGTAGGCCAGCGCGAGCCGATGTAAAAGCCATATATGCACCCAGTTACCTCCAACGATGCTTAGTGATGTCAAATGCATGGCTTATCCCTCAGGGAATTATCAACCAACACCGAGAACCTTATCCATTATTATTCTTTGTGGCACCAATATTTTCCAACTGAACACTGGCATGTTTCAATTTGTCACCATAAAATTTACTTTTCATATGGTTTCCAATTCTTGAGAAAGTCAACGACCGTTTCAAATGGACATTCGAACTGGCCAGCAAGCTGATGTATGTTCCAGATAGAAATTACGTAAGAAAACGCGTATAGAAATATGATTAAATCGCTTACAGCGAACATTAAATGGCAATTGCTCCGCAATGACGTCATCCTCTATCTCCTGGACAAGTTTGTTATCGATGAAAGACCTCACATAACCATCCGGCTGATGTCGCATTGTACGTGCGCGACGAACAATTTGCGGAATCGCAATAGAACCTTCATGAATATCAGGACCAGGGACGCTAAAGTACAACTGTCTTCTTCTCAAAAAATCAGTTCTGACTGAAAAACAATACGGAATTGTCAAGAAAGATTATATAAATTTGAAAAGTGAAAGTAAGCAGTAGTCTACAACAATCTGCAGCTAATTTCAATGAACCAATGTATATCTTACCTAACTAGGTCGAAAAGATCCCAACTGACACAAGGTCGCTCATCCTCCTCGAAGAAAAACTCACTTCTGGGACTTCCTCCACATAAAGAGCTGCGCCTAGTAGCTCGTAACTTGGCCCTTAGAATTTCGGTTACACATAGGCAAATAAAGAGCAAATGTAAACATAAAGACACTAGTACCCCTTCCTCTTCATTAAATTGAGTAATTCTGCTACGAATGTTGAAGAGCGACGGCGATTCAGTGGATATGTTACTTCCTACATAAAAACTGTAAATCAAGTCAACTGACAATCCTAAAAGAAACCAGAACGACAACGTCGTTTTAAGGAAAACTGCAAATTCGAACCTTGAACACTCTCTTTTCTCTTTCAGCTGTATTTGCAGCTTGGCTACCAGGAATCATTTTAGCCAATGGCCGATTCGGCTTAAGAGATTTCTTGAAAGGAAGAGGAACGGAATGACGGGGTCTTTTGTTGACAACCAGATGCAGCTCCGTGTCTGCGGAAGATCCAAGACGCTGCGCAACTTTTGTGAGATCCCATCCGAGGACCTTAAACAAACGAATAATACGAACAATTAATTTACACGTCTGTTTAAAAACATAAGTAGAATGACTTAGAAGCAAAGGACGATTCAAGATAAGTGATTTCCTTCACGCACCGTCTTACCATTTATTAGTATTATTTCGTCTCCAGCATCAATTCTACCGCAGAGGTCAGCCGGAGATCCTAATTTCACCTCGCTTATAATGTGGACACCACGAAAAGACGATTGCAAATTAATACCCTTAATAGAGTAGAAGGCATGCTTGAAAACGAAAATGGGAGAAAAAAAGAAAGACCGCCAGTGAAGATACCCAATTCGTGTTCACGTCACGTCTTCGCAGAAGAGCACTTTCGATGTATGCAGTGTACAACACCACTGGATCGTCGTTATTCTGTACAATATTTTCACACTGTTGCTGGAGATCATTAGTTATCTAGAAAATGTAGTAGAATTAAATTGGAATAGAACCAATTTTGATTCTAGGCCAATTCCCTATTTTCAATTCCATTAAGCTTTTCAGTTATAAGAAATGAACCTTCATTTTCCAAGAAAATGTAAACACTCAAAAGGGAAAAAAACTATGCCTAGAAAATTCCGAATATTTTGTGCATGCAAGTACTTTGCTACCTAGGTGTAGATATCGTACAAGGGCGCGTGTAGCGCAGTTGTCGGAGGCGCCCAGCAATACGCATGGATTCGTTCCCCGCGCCTCAGGCCCATCAAGCCCTCCATCCTTCCGGAGTCGATGCATTGGTACCAGACTTGTCTGAGAGGACAGCTGCACTGGCTCGATACATCGCCAGATATGCATTCAATCATCGCTGACGATGCTTAGTGAAGACGAATTCATGGCGCATCCTTCAAGAGATTGCTCAACGCCAACAGCTTTACCCTTTCATTTTTTGTAGGTGTAGATAACACTTCATCTAGTTACAACAGTTATAAAAAAAAGGATCCTAACCTGGATAATTTCTGACGCATCGTTGAACAATGATTTCGGCTGAACATTAACACTACGCACCAACTGCCAGATAGTGAGCGAGATCCGATTCCGTATTTCAATGTAATGTTTGAGGTCATCAAATGGGCTTCTTATTCAGAGAAAATTTTTTAGCGCAAAACCACAATAAACAAACGATAGCAAAATGATTATAAACGACAGGAGAAAAGTTGTAAAAAATACCTGTCCAACCAAAGCACAAGCTTCTTTACATTTTCGACCAGGACAGATATCGAGAGAAAGATGCTGTTCAGAACGGACACAGCGTAAACCCTAGTCAATGGCTGAAACGTTGTTTCTTCTTAAAGATAAAAAGAGCAAAACAGAGTCCAACACTTAAAGTGAAAGGAAGTTCAATGATGGGGCGCATAGCATAGTGGTAATGATGTCGCTCATTACGAGTATGGTGCTAGTTCGATTCCGCAACGAGCCAACCAAGCCTCTCGTCGCTCCGGAGCCGGGAAATTGGTATCGGACTTGTGTCCAGAAAAAAATCACTCTCCGCAATCCAATCTGGAACGCTCTAGCCCAGATATCTTAGGACACCACGGAGAATCGACTCGACCAGCACTCAACGACATTCATGATGGAAAGAAAATCCTGAAGCACCAGCCGAAGCCACACGTAAACATTGGAGGATCTTCGTTGGTGATGGATGCCAGGAAACGGATCGGATGTGGCAAGTGATGGGAATCGCCAGTAGACGTGAAGACGGGTCATATAAAAATATAAAAATAAAAAAAACATGCATTTAATTGTGCCATGGCGAACCTTCTCATCTCGGCAACGCAATGCCCGTCCCAATTCGAACGTTGCTGCTTTGCAGGCCACAACAGCTTTCATCGCCAGGCTTTGAAGGTTTTCAGATGGGGCCTCGACACACTGGAAAGACGGAATACACAAATTTATAAGGAAAAGGCCACCTCGGTATGGAAGTTAATTCTTTAATGTTGCTCACGAAGCAAAGTAAGAGATGCAGAGCCTGAAGAACGGTTTTTCTTGGACCGAGAGCCGTGATTCCAATATCGATCAGCATCTCGTCGTCTACCAGATGCAGAAGTTTCCCGCTCCTTATATTGTCTCTGATCGCTCCAAGGTACGGATTCATAGCGTCGCCGAGACCTGCAAGTGACAACACAAACTCGAAGAATTCAACAATGCAAGACCAGTGAAACATCTACTATGACAACAACATGCATCCTTTCCATATTGCTCCACCTTCAATCCAGCGGGCGATTTGCTTTCCTGTCCACGACTCCACATACTGCTTGAATGAGATGACGGGAAGCTTTGAAGGCTTATCCTGTGGAAACACAGTCAGCAACTCCTTCCTCTCGCCACTGCACGGTAATGCCTGTTGCATTGGAGATGTCAAGAAGCTAGTACCCAGCTACTATCGATCATCTGTAGCACGACGAATGAAGGGGAGTGAACGCAATGCCGAAGAGTAGCCAGCTGCTAGAATTTTATTTAAAGGGTCAGCTAAATCACGATTAGAGCGAATATTCCTTTCTCATAGCTATGCTTCACTTCGAGTGAATAGTAGCAGCAGTCAACGTCATTGGTGGGTGTCTTAATTAGTTAAGCTATCGTTATTCCTTGTGCTTAAATTCTAAAAGGAGCTGACGCATTAAAGTAGTTGTCGTGCCGATTGTTATGTAGTTGCGTTCCAGAAGTCGCATGGAAGAAGACAATGCTCATGACATCTTTAAGTGGCTCTCTACTTTGCCGACACCCAACCAACATCGTGTTTCTGCGAGTTTTCATGAAGAGACGTACAATGCGGAGGTATCTATATAGCTTTTTCTGAGCTATTAGTTTTAATGCAAAGATCTCTCTAGTATCCTGAGATTCTCTGCCACTGCATTTTCGTCGTCTTTCCAACGGTTTATCGTCTTCTCGTGGCGGGGTGTTTCTGGGTGTCAGGTTGCCATGTACACATTTCCCTCCCCCCCTCTCCAACACGGTCTTCCAGGCTGAGAAAGAGAGAAAGAGTCCGGCGGTTCCATGAGGAAGTTCAGCTAGGAGTAAACCAATACCAGGATTCACCACCCGCTCTGGTACCAAACCAGTCGCATGGTGGCAAATCTCCCTCTGATCCACAAGAGCTGCGACTGCCTACAGGGAACCGCATTTACTGAAGCAGCAAAATTCCGAAAAAATGGAGATTATCATGGGGCGCGCACAACTAGTAAGCACGGAGTATCCAAGCATCTAAGTATCCAGGCAAATACTTTTCATTAGTATGGCAACGCTACCAGTAAAGTTGAAATGAAGCACGTTCCCTGATCTACAAATTCAAGTGTCATCCGATTCGTGCAATAGCTTTATTCATTTCGATGTAGACTGTCGTTGTCGAAATTTTCTCTTGCAGTTAACTCTTCATGGAAATCTTCTATATTGTATTTCTATGAACGACGCTAAGGTTCCTCTCCTGTTTGTCATCGAGGGCGTAACAGTTCAAAAGTTCGAAACAAAGGTACAGACGTAGTCGTTCGTGTGTTGCTTCTATCAAGTGGCCGCTGTTACTGCGCTGTATGCTGATTTTTCAGGATTCCTCGTTTGCCTGCATCGTGACATTTCCTGACTGTCATGATAACCTCGTTCTCCACTTTGAGTCGGAAAAGCTCCGAGAGAATTGGATGGTCAAGGTTTTTCTAATTTTTGTGTTATTAGTTGTTTTTAACGATGCAACTCTCTGCTTTAACACATCATGTCTGACGTGGAATGAGCGTAATGCATTTCGTGCGAAAATAGTGGTCACGTTTAATTTCGAGCCAACATTTTTCGGCTCATACTTGGTTTTACTAGTATCGATTTAAAAAGATACTAAGAGCGACATACTCTACAAGGGCGAACTTCTGATTTTCCGAAACCTGAGAGACGTCCTTTTTCTCTTTTTATGTATGCTTCTACTTCGAACAAAAAATAAACCAGTTGAGCAATCTGGGTTTTGTCCAGAAGGACGCGATAGTGCTCCCAACTATATCGTAGGTGATGCAACCACAATGCTGCTGAAAGGCGAAAGAAAGGACGCGCATGGTGTGGTGGTGAACGCATTATCCCCCAGAAAGGGTAATAGCGCGTTCGTTCCCTATCGGAGACATCTGCGGTCCGGAGTTTTGCAAACATCTCAACACCACTGTGGTTTCATCACACATAGAACCCTACGTGAAAAGTTGTAATAGGCAAAAAAAACATCGTGGATACTGTATAGCAATTATACACATTTAAAAAGTAGCAGAGCTTCTATGGACGGTGAGTGTTTTCCATCATTGTGGACCATGCTGTATAGTTAAATACGGGTTTTGTTTCTAGTACGGTCGATTCTTCAGATTGCAACCTGCTCCCATCAGATGGCTCGAGCAGAGCTTGATGATATGGCATATAGATTCTATACTATGGGCTCGAGACAAGATTTCGACGTAAAAAACTCTTCGTTTCATGAATTCTATCTTGCGAATCCTCATAAGATCTCCCATAATTTCGCGATATGTCAGGTATTGTTGGTGACTTGGTCAAATTGTGTTCGAGTTGAGCACTTTAGGTGTTACAATTTTTCCCTTGAGTACGTATGACTTGGTTTCAGCAAAACAACCTTCCTTCAAGACGTGTATCATTTGATGAAATCATGTCCGAATCGAAACTGTCTATTGTGTTACCTCTGGAACTCATCAAACTTTACAAGAAATGGATAACGGAGTCTGTACATTCTTTGATTGCTTTTAGATTTTGTAGTTGTCATGAGTTCCTTTTTTCGCCAAGTTATTTCAATGTGGGGAGTAATGTTGGTTTTACTCTCCTCCCAACGCTTTACCTCCTCATCATGGCTTGGAGGTGCTCCTGGATGTAGACCCGAGATGTACAGCTGAGGGATTTATTCGCCTGGCCGGGTCTTCCAAACTCAAAGGAGTCAGGCGATTCTATCTGGAATCCCAACTAAGAGTAAATTTATAGCATGATCCACCACCGTCCTGGTATCAAACTAGTCGCTAACTGGGAAATCTCCCTCTGATCCACAGTGATGGTGACTGCCCGTGGTGACGACTTGAGGAAGACTTTGGCCTGGCTGACCTCGGGACTCCAGGGAACCACAATGGTTAGACCAGCAAAACTCCGAAATAATGGAGGTTATGCTGGTGCTCGCACAGCCAGTGAAGACGACCCATCCAATTATCCAAGTTTTACTTTTGGTTCTCTGCATTGTTGTTACTAAATAAACACAGTATTTGGTTTCGACTGTTCTTTTCAATTTTGAGTACTTGGAATTTAGATTCTTTTATCTACTGGAAACTAAGCGAAATCGATGGCCAGGCTCTGTTATTCCTATTTTGAATGATGTACTCAGGGAAGTTAGAGAGAATTCTGAGACATTGGAACAGTGCTGTGAATTCTTAGAAAATTATTCAGTAAGTTTTTATAGAGCAAAAAGTAGTGCTTGTCATGAGTACAAATGCATTTAGGGTCCCCCTTTCCGTAAATCGACTGAGAAACATCGAGTTGCGTTTGCTCCAGTACCCACAAACCTTCACGTTCACCAGTATACCATTGATAATCGAGCTACTCGAGAAGTTCTGAGTTGTGGCACAGCTTCTGCATTGCCTCTGCGTTTCCAGGTGTAAAAATTACGGCTACCTTTTTAGAAATAAAATTGAATTTTCAGTCTGGAGGCTTGACTCGCTTATCTGCTTTGTTGGGAATTAACCGGTCATATCAAGATTTTCCGTTCTGGTCAAAAAGGAAGATTCTTGTGGATTTGAAGAGATATCTTGGACAATTAAGTCACAGGTGTTTTCCTCACTTTCAGTTAAGGTTCTTGCCTGTATTTTCGGTCAATGTTAAGACGTTTGTTCCGTTTTTGTGTTCGCTAGTTGTTTATGTAAGAATAGGATTCTTCTCAGATTGAGAATTAATCATATTTAAGATTTCAACCTTTTACTTACTGCCTATTCTTTTTTAATGGGAAGGTATGTTGCGAAATATAAGTTCTATAATACTGAGATATTTGGATAACTCCGGACCGCAGCTGTCTGCGGTGGGAAACGAACGCGCTATTGTCCTTTCCGGGGAGAAACGCGTTCACCACCACACCATGCGGGTCCTTCGTTTCGCCTATCTCTCAGCTAGTTCTATCGATCACTTGCCATCAGCAATCGCCTGTCTACGTGGCGGTGTTATATAAGCTAAGCATATTTATTTTGATTAAACCCCAGGATCAGCTTAATTTAACCTCAGCATCGTTCAAGAAGTTCATGTTTTCTTCTTGAGCAGATCCAAGGTTGGTAATGACAAAATTTATTCATTGCTGGCTGATTTTTCAGTGGTTTCATCTTCAGAGCCTAGAAAAGTGAAACTAACACGCACTCGACTCAGCCAAACACCGTAACCTCGGCAGATAGAACTTAATACACAAATTTCATCCATGGAGTAAACTGCTCCTCCTAAACACTCACCGCTTTCTCAATATTAATCTTTTATTTTCTGCCTACTATAATTTTTCACTGCAGGGTATGATGTGAATTAAAACCACAGCGATGTTGAGTTATTCACAAAACTTGGACCGCGGGTTTGGTCGAACCTGTCAACGGGATTGGTCAGAGGAGCACAAATCGGCATTGGATCCAGTTAAGCTGAGGTTGTAGTCGAATTCACAATAATTTTTTATTTTCTGCCTAATATAATTTTCTACGGCTGCTGACGGGTGATTGCTGATGGCAGGGCTAGGTAGAAAGCTAGCTGAGAGAAACGTAGAGCAAGTGCCTTCGTGGTGTAGTGTGTAATACGCGAGCCCTCGGAAAGGGTAATCGTGGTTCGATCTGGGCCGGGTTCGAAGTTTTGCGAATATCTCAGCATCGTTGTGGTTGTAACTCACCGCTTTGTTCATTATAAGTCTTCATGCTATTGCCCAAAAACCAGACGCCACATTCTTACATGTGTAAAAGGAATAGGCCTGAATTAAGTCGAGAAATCAGCCTTATGTGTGGGGTTGGATCACATGTGATCACAAGGTACTGCTTTCTGCAGTTTATTTTTGGCTTTTTGAATTTATTCAAAGTGCTTCAAGTGTTTTACGGACTACTCTTTGAAATTCTGTGTGAGGAGAGTGACTTTCACTTCGAAATCTTGTCCGTATGTCTTTGTGTTCTACCTCTGTGCAGTGCTTTGTTTGAGTTGAGTTTTTCCCACTAGCTGTTTTTTATACAGGCTACTGTGATTTACGTGTTTCGTCAACTTATTCGTTCCCATACGCGTTAAAAAAACGGTACCCCGTACCCGAACTCGTGCAATCGCATTTTCTACCGTTAGGACAACTTATATCCTCGAAACATAGGAAATGATCTGAAGTGTTCTTGGCAAACGGATTTGTTGTTGTCGTCTCATTCGTGCTCGACAGAACGAATATCTCAAGACGTCTCAACTTTGCATGAGTTAGAAAGTCTTCGAGGTGAACCACTTCGCTGCAAATGAGCTATTTGATAAGGTTATGAGACCATCGAAGATGTTGTAAGGCAAAGAATGAACACATGGCTTCGTGTGACATCTCCACTACGCCATAGTACCTGCATTTACAGACCCTGTACTGAATTTTGTGCTGTGCCTAACACTTACTCATCGACGCCTATTTTTGCTTGACTAACCCGTGTAACGATGTCTAATTTCGTGTTGTTATGGACCTACTGGTTTTTCAACAGCAGACGGTAATTTTTCTGTAGTTAGGGGACTGGAGGGCTGAGAACATGGCTATTATAGAGTGGAATTTGCAGCTTGTGTTGTGTGTCTTCTAGCTTACCGTTACAGAATTCATATTGTTGCATAAATGCTAAGAAAAGTAAAAGAGTAATGAGCAGTATAAGTTAAAAGACCGATTTTCTTTGATCCTAGGCATATGTAGTTGATATATTTATTTATATGATCTTTTAAACTGATCTTTTTAAACTGGTGCGAGGTTGATATAGGTCTTCGTCGTTGTCGTTGTTGTTGTCATTGCTGTTTGTTGCTTTTTTGCGAGTCCCACTCATAACATCACGGCTCTGAGGAAGCTGAAATCCCCGAAACGTCAGCCATCGACCAGCAACATCAAAAACAACGACGATGACACAGTGGTTGTCAAAACGATGGTTGAGACAGTGAGAAATTCGGTGATCAGTAGGAGGATAGCTGGTCTTCTTTTCATGAAGTTTTTTATTTTTGTTGATAGTAGATGACCCGACGTCTCGTGTATCACACTGTGCAATTCCCATCACTTCTTGCATTCGAGATTCATTTCATCTTCCCGCAACTGGCATCCACGAAGGTCTTCGAACATTTTTCCGTTCTGTTTCGCGTGCTGCTTAAGGATCTTCCCCTTTTCTATGAATTCCGTAGAATTCTGGTCGTATCTGTCCTCCCTCGATGTCCTCAGTGGTGCTGGCAGGTTGCTACTTGTTGCCTCAGACAGTTCTGGAACTAACAATCCGTACCCAGAGGGATAAAAAGCTTCGTGGACACGGGACAGGTTCGAGTCAGCAGTTGGGTGGGTTGGGTCGATCATACTATGCTGTTTGCTCTTCACATGTTCAGTATTGTAATATATTCATTTACTATAATTGTTCTACTGTACTATACTAATATAATATGACACTAAGTGTTATAGAACTGGTGTTGTTCTTTGTTCTTTCGCAAGTGTTTTTGAAAATTGTGCCGCACTACGTTGTGATTTTAAAAAAGTTCAATTTATTTTCATCAGTTTACAACCTACGTTTTAGGTCTTATTATGCTTTTCCTATTATTAGATATATTGAGCGTATTACTATTAATTTATATTAACCTTTTATTTTTTGTCTACTAAAATTTTTCACGGCAGAGTATGATGTGAAATACAACCACGACGATACTGAGATATTCGCAAAACTTGGACCAGGAACCTCTGTGGTGCAATGTGTAATACGCGAGCCCCCGGAAGGGGTAGTCTTGGTTCGACCTGGCTCGGAGTCCAAGTTTTGCGAACTATTTATTTATTTAATAATACCATTTAAACACCCATCTTCTGTTAAAATTTCTGAGAATGTTTTTAGGTTAGACGTGGAATGGAGTGGTACAGACTTCAGTGGACGAACAAAACTATGTTCCGATTTGTCATCTAGATTACAGGAAGTAGGATGCTTTCTTTTTTTTTTTGTTTCTTTTCCTTTCAAAGAGTTTGATTCACAATGTTATTCTAAGGCATATGAACAATTGAACGAAATAAGTGGTAACATATCTGAGTTAGACATATATGCCGATCTATTGGTCGACGAGGAGAAACGGAGATTTTCCAAGGGAGAAAATGCAAGTTGTACCATATCTCAGAGTTTGTCCAAGCAGTTTTTTTCCGTTGCTTCTATAGCGCTACAATTTTAGATCGACAGACAAGTACGGGACAGTCTTCAAAATCAGAAGGATACAATTGACGTAATGTTCATAAGTTTGACTACGAAACTGGCTATTATGGATAAGATTAATGATGAACAGGTGATATAAGGATTACTCCAAGTTGAACTTCAATACTTGAAGAATTGGCTTGAAGTGGCTTACGTAGCCCATATTTACTTGTTTTTATTGCAGAGCAAGAATGAGCTTTATGAGAAGTCTGCCCATGATGTTATATGCCTGTGTCTCGACATGTTACTAGTACTGGCTGACTCAATTTTGGAAGCTCAACTGCTTGGTTTAGGTTTCTTGATTGCTAGTTTAATTTGACTTTATTTTACAGCCATTACAAATAATAGCTGTTGCATTACGCTGTTCTCTATTGCTCGAGACGCTAGTAGCGCAGCAGTAATGATCCCATTTATTACTACTTGAATCGTTGAACCGTCCGTTTTCACGTGTTATGTGGACCCTAGCACATTTGCCATTTGTTTCTTTCGCTCCGAGTCGTTGTCCATGGTGGTGCTTCTCATCGAGTATGGTGGCGGTTGAGAGTCTAATGCCGTGATCACTGAAACATTTGCATGGTACGGCTCCCCCAGGATTCAGAGGAGAATCGACTCGACCACTCTTCAACGACATGGATAAGGACGATGCAACGGGTCAATGTATGGGAAAAATACGAGGGTCTTCGTTGATAGTAGATGCAGGAAAACGAATTCAATGGAGGAGATGTGGGTACCCATGCAATAGCAATCACGTTTGGTAATGTGAAATGAAAAAAGGATTCGATCTTCATCTAGCAAAAAAAGTATGCACGGCAGTTTCATTCTATTCGACTTTAACCGTATGTTTCCGTTACCTGTGCTCAAAATGTTAGTAAATAAGAATATTCTTTTTAATAAGAAGCAGTGGGGTCAAATCTATTTTCTATTGATCTTTGTTATGAAGAAATGCTCGAGCTTGTTTAATGATTATTTAGTGATGGAGGTCCACAAAAATTCCATGCTTCACCTCTATTTCCACGTTCAAATACGGTCTGACTTTGTTCTCTCCCAAACGATCACCATCGCTGCTACTGCTATACTGAACACTGTTTACCGTGGGTGGCCTATAATTGATGGTACGATGGATTTTTTTTTCTTAGCGTGAAGTCAATCCTTGCTTCTCTACCGCCAAGTAGTATAACAAGACGGTTCCGTTTATAGATGTTCATTATTCGTAGTAATGTTTGAAAGTTAGAACAATAATTTGACCTTGACCGTTACCTGTCATCTTTCAAAGTATTGCTTCAGAAGAAAGAAGGAAAAACTTTACCATAGTGGAATTATTATGAGTTGGCTAATAAAGTAATTTTGGCGAAACTTCGATCACTTCTCTAGAATGTTGTTTTTCTATTTTCTAAGGTTTTCTGGATTTTCCTAAGTACACGAAGTTCACTTACGTCTTTATACATCTTAACAGACGTTTTCCAGGCTATGCAGGCGATCTTCTCCTAACAGTTGCTTCGTTTCTTTCCGTTTATGGTGATGAAAAGGGAATGGCAGAAGATGCGTGGGAAGCTTGGCGTCAGTTAGAGGCCCGAGTTGCCTTCACGTTGATACGAGCACCCTCTGCAGTTTGTCGCACTTGCATCCCTCTTGTATCTGGTGAACGTGCCACAATTTGTGTTAGTGAAGAAGCTCTTTTGGGTTATGCGGCAGATATCTCTTGTTATTTCAGTAAACTCGTATGACTAAACAGATTTAACTTGGTATTGTATTTAAAGTGTTTAGGTTTCAATACCAGTTCCTCATGACGTCTATGATTCTCTTCCTTGTGAATTAAAAGATAGGGCGTCAATCCTCGTTCACGTAGCGTATTTCAATATTGGGGTACGTCTTTCGGATTTTAATCATCATCACCGCAAGTTGACGAAGTAATGCTTCCTATTATACAGTAGTAGACGGCAAAAGTACTACACATCTTTAAGAAAACATAATAAATTCTTCTTTGGGTGTGGGTGCAAAAGTCATCTTGTTTTGAAGTAATTGTAAGACTGTGAGTTCATGTTGTATTGAGCGTGTAATGGGCACGTGTGGCGTAGTAGTCGAGGTGCTCTGCAACACATGTGAAATCGATCTCGACGGCTCTGGCCCACCAAGCCATCCATCTCCACGGAGTTGGCAAATTGGCACGAGACCTGTCTGGGAGGATAGCAGCACTGACTCAATACATCGGTAGGCCACCTCGAGTCATTGTAAAGGCCAGATGAATTCAATTACCTTCAAACGTGCTTACTGAAGTCGAATGCATGACGCATCCCTCAAGGATTGGTCAACGCCGAGTGGTTTATCCTTTTTATTAAGCGTATAGTTCAATCGAATTGCTGCTTAGTTTTTTCTCACTTTCTTGACTTATCAGATAATTTCTTCGCTATCAATTTCGGATATAAATCAATCTATTTATAAACACTTTAGAAGTCTGTTGTAGTTAGAAAAATGAAGAACGGGTCTAACACGGAAGCATTCTACAACTTGTGTTTTGTGTTGAATGCTTCTATCTCCTTTTGAGGAGAATTTATTTTTATGTAAGCCATGGTTTAAGAGACACATTCAGCGCCGTCTTTTACGACGATTTAGGCAAGCAGGAGCGCTATGTGAAGAAATGCTTCAGGACGTGTTTTGTTCTCGTTCCTATCTTAATATTCATATACCTTGGTTCTATGTTTATATGTAAGGCGCGTGTGGCACAGTGGTCGGAGGCGCCCTGCAATACACATATGGGAGCGATCCTCGCGCCGGTGGCCCACCATGCTTTTCATTCCTCCGGGGTCGGCAGTTTGGTACTAGACTTGTATGGGAGGATAGCAGCACTGGCTGGATACATCGATAGGCCACCGCGAGTCATTATAAAGGCCAGATATTCATTCAATCACCAACGATGCGTAATGAAGTCGAATTCATGACGCATTCTTCAGGGATTCATCAACGCCGAGAACTCTGTCTTTATCTTATGTTTGTATGTATAGTGTTTGTCATATTGTCAGAGAAGTTTATCACCATGTATCCCTATTATGCTTTTGCTGTCTTCTAAGCTTCATCGGAGCTATCTCTTTCCGCACCACTAGCAATTAACTTTGAGGGATGCCGCTGACTGATCTGTTTTTAACGCATTCGCGATGAAACCTAACTTTATGTGGCTCTAAATTAGGACTCTTTGTCGTTCTTTGTATCCTTCTCTACCAATCCGTATGTGATTTGTGTCTACTTTGGCCATCCAAAAATGAACGCACCACTTTCCTACGTCGTGCGCCGTATAATTTGGTTTTTCAGTGTAATTTTCGATCTTTTCTTCACGTTTTTACGTCTTGTTAATAGGTATCCTGCAACTCGTTCCCTGTTTTAGAAAATATACAGATTGTATGTGGTGAAAAAAGTTCGTCCATTACCCAGTAATAGTACCGTCGAGATAGTAGAGAGGTCTCTGTATCCTTATCACCAGCAAAAACCTCTCACCGCAGAACTGAAACGAACAATCTTCTTTAACACATTGGCAACAGTGTGAGCCGAAATGAAATTGCGCCTGTTCAGTTTTCTGCAGAGGTTTTTTTACCGCACTTTTTCTATTTTATCGATGCCTTGCTGAACATAGATCGTGGGAATATTTTTAAAATTTGTTTTACACAGCCCATCACACCTACTGTGAGGATACCAGCACTTGTTGCTAGAGCTTTTCCATTTGGACTACAGATTGTGAACTATTCGAAGGCAAGTTTAGGACCAATTCCCCGACCCCAAAGGAATGAGAAGCTTGGTGAGGAACCAGCGCATGCCCTGTTTAAGTCGCGAATGAGTTCATGTTTTTTTTGGTTCCCGAGAAATCTCGGTTGTCTTCAGTTTGTTTGAAACGGTTTCTTTGTAGCGCTGTTTTTCATGATAAGCAAACATGAGGTTCTTTACAGAATTTATTAATACACAATAGCTGAACTTTGGACGGTTCCATCTTCTTCAGAGCCTAGAAAGGATAAATTGACATACAATCTACTCAGGCAAATGCTTTTATAACCTCGGCATAACTCATCAGACAAAACCTATCACATAAGTTTCCATTCGTGTAACAGTCATGTTTTTCTAAACACTCGCCGTTTTTTATGAATAAGTACGAAATTTATGGCTGTTGGAATGTGAAAGTTTTTGGCTAAGTAGATTGTAATTTGACCTTTCCAAGCTCTAAAGAGAGCGAAATTGTCGGAACGTCGGTTATTGTGTATTAATAAATGCTGTAATAACAATTTCGTGTTGCTCATCAAGAGAAATGTGAGTTATGGATCAAGGTCGAATTTAGGAATAAGTCGGTCTCAGGTTTCTTCTAATCATTAAGTGTAAAGAATAGTCTACCAAGTTCTCCGTAAGTTTTCAAAGTACTTATCTTTGCCGTTTTTTAAAACTTTTTTCGTAATCAGTCCTTCGCAATGCCTACAGTAATAGTGTGAGGAACCTACAATACCTAGAGGAAATCCTCACCAATAGTTCTTTTTCAGGTCAACCATGAGGCAACGTTAGGGCAGTCGTTTGGTGGTACTGCTTTGGAGACTGCAATAAACCAGGAAGGAGCTGAGAGGGTCTTATCTTATTCAAATCGATTTTCGGTCGATCAAAATGCACGGGAAGCAGTTATGGAGCTTGTCAACGTGGTTAGAATTTTCGTGACATTTAGCTTGACACTGTTAGATTAATAGAAGGATGTTACTGTTATTTCCAGCCAGATGTTATTTTCCATTGAAAATTGATTCCTAATACCCGATTCAGGTAGCAAGTGAACCGTCGCGTAAAAACCTGGCCATTTTCGAGTGGGCTATGACTGCATGTGAATTACTGCGTGGGCAGGCTGTAATTTGCTGTAAGAGTGGGAAGGATCGCACGGGAATGGCAGTCACAATTGAACAGGGCCGTGTGTTTCGAGAGACTTGCGGACTTAATGCCGTCCAGGTTCGTCCAACTACATCAGGGATATTTGTCATGAAATTTTGTGCCATTTGGCAATTAGTGAAATTCTCCATCTTTATGACCTGTCTTACATCTACTGTGCGGGTCACATCGCTTCTTGCATTCGATTCGTTTCCCAGCTTCCGTCATTCACTTCAAACTTCTACGTGTGGATTGAACTGTTGTTTGAGGATTTTCGTTTTCGTTTTCGTTATGAACGTCGAACGTATGAACGTTATGAACATTAAATGCTGGTCGAGTCGATCCCCCTGGGGTCTTGGGGTAACCTTGTTAGGGCGTTACCATCTGGGTCGAAGTGACTTTGTCTGTAATCAGTTTGGTACCAATTTCCTAAAGTCAGCCTTGGTGGGCCCGATACAAGGTCGAACCAGCACCGTGCTTAAGATGCGCGTCATTATTTACCACTGCGCGAACGACTGTTTATTTGGATTAAAGCCAGTTCAGAAATTTCTTATTTCTTACAAATGAAAAAGTGGGCAACTTCGCGGCTAGTTTGGAGCATCGATATTCACATATTAGTTGATATTCTTCATTATTATGCAAGACTTATTTCCTGCTAGCCACCAATAAAAAAATTTTAGCTGCAAGAGGTGATTGCTTCATTGAGAAGAGACGGTGCTCGTAGAGAGAACTGCCGAAAGAATGTGGGGAAAGCTGTTTACTCTTTTAGTCCCTTTCAAATGCACTTTTTGCCAAAGGTATGTTAACCACTGAACTAATTTTTCCTTCGTATTGTTTCTGAATGGCTTCGAAAGAAATGGGGCGTATAATATCCGACAATTTCAGACTTTTCGTCCACCAAATGGAACATATGCTCAAGGAGTGTCCAGCTAATACTTCATATTTTAGTCTGTTTGTGATTTTCTTATAACCAAATTTCGATGCAGGATCTCTATTCTGATTTTCCGGTCCTCTACTTTCCATGTTTTATTTTCCAACTACAATGTCTCATAATTTTGTTAATCTACTAGAAATATTTGTATTTGGGGTTTGCGCAGTGGTTATAGAGCATTACCGCATTATATGCTGGTAGAGTCATCAAACGTACTGGTACTGAAATAAAGATTTCACTAGGTGTAATGTACGGAGGGTTAACGCCTTCTTCCGTTTTCGCGCCATGCTAAAAGTGACGGTCACCATGGTGATGAGGGATGTATGTTCACTAGCGTGGCTGTCATATAACTCTACCACATTTTCTACGACCGTTTACCCACTCAGTGACAAATACAATGTCTGGAGACAAAATAAATGACGACGAATTGTGGCAGGACAAGGATATCAGATTCGATGTCGATTACCGGTAGGCGAGTACCATGTCGCTAAATGCAGCCTTTGTACCTAACATTGTCAAGTTTTGTTGATTTACCTAAAAAGATATATTCATACGATTGTTATCACCTGTCCTTTGTAGTACAAGTATCGTCTTAAGTACACCAACGATGTGAAATTACTCCCGAATGAAGCAGCTTGTCTTACTGATTCCCCCAACGGTCCACTGCATGGTGGTTGGGAGGTGTTCTTGGATGTCGGGTTGTGATGTACAGCGGGAGCATTCACCACCTGGCAGGGTATCCCAAGCTGAAAAGGAGTCCGACGTTTCTATCAAGAAGCTCAGCTAAGAGTAAACCAAAACCAGGATCCACCACAGTCCTGGTATCAAAATAGTCACATGATGACAAATCTCGTTCTGATTCAGAAGGGTGGCGACTGCCTGTAGGTGACGACCTGGGGCAGAGTTTAGCCAAACCGACCCCGGGATGCCAGGGAAACAATGGCTAAACCAGCAAAACTCCGAACAGTGGAAAATATGCTGAGGCTCGCACAACTAATGAGTGCAGACCGTCCAAATTAGGTGAGTAAGTGTTCCTAATTTTCGAGGAACATTCTTAGTCGTACAAATTACAAGTAGTCAGACATTTCGAAGTTCTATAGTGGAGGCAAAATACGAGTATGGAGACGTTGCCGCTCAACAAGTGCTTATTGACTGTGTTTGTGTAGTTTCTAGCAATGATGAGCTAATTAGGTGGGAGTTGAAGGATTTGCTCCACCTTGCCATGTTCTAGGCGTAATGGCTTTTAAGAGTTTGCTCAAATCCATCTGGCCCATCAGAATATGTTTTGTACTCGAAGTTGAGACAGGATATATATACTCGATATATATATATATGTATATATATAGTGGTTTATAGTGTTTCTCTAACGCATCTAAATATCTTACAGGATGTTGCGACTTGTGCCCGGGGAAGTGCAGATTGATCGTGTAGATATGGTTGAGGATACGAAAGGAAACAAGGGCGATAGAGGTGATGGCGAAAAATTTTGTATACACGCGTTTCCAAAAATCCTTGATGCAGGCGTGATGCGAGTAACGAACTTGAGGCTTATTTGGTACGCCAGTTCGATGCCGCGAATAAATCTCTCTATCGGATACAATAATATTACAGGACTTCAAAGTCGAGAAGTTATATCAGTGCGTTTTCACATAGAGGCTTTTTTTCTTCTTTAAAGCTATTATTTTGTAGAGAATTCGTGGTATCGAAGTTGAAGCTCTCTACGTAATGGCACGTGCTCCGAATTTTTCGACAAAATTCGAGTTTATTTTCACTGCTATGACCAGTGGAGTAAGTGTGACTAATTATTTATAATTCAGTGCGACTAGCAGTCTCAGGGAAAGATAATTATTTTTACTTACTTACCTGGATACTTGGACGGCCCGTCCTCACTGGTTGTGCGGACTTCAGCATATTCTCCATCTTTCGGAGCTTTGCTGGTTTAACCGTTGTGTCTCCCCGGAGTCCCAGGATCAACCTGGCCAAATTCTGCTCCAAGTCGTCACCACCACAGGCAGTCGCCGCCCTTGTGGATCAGAGGGAAATTTCCCACCATGCGGCTAGTTTGATACCAGGACGGTGGTCAATCCTGGTATTGGTTTACTCTTAGATGTGCTTTCTAATGAAAGCTTCCAGGCTGGACCCTCAGCCTGGAAGACTCTGCCGATTGGATGAATCCCCCTCCTCTAACACCTCCCAGCCGCGATGAGGCGCTAGACCGTTGGGATGAATTCCGTTCTCCGGGTTCGATTCCTGGCTACGGAATCACCGGCAGTTGACGGTACTTCGATATTTGAATCGTCTCTTAACGAATTCTGTGGGTCTTAGCATAGTTTCCATTTGATTGAAATCTCTCTGCTGTGAAATTTTTCAGTAGATTATCGACGTAGACGTTGAAAGTGTTTAGTAGGTCGTCAAAAGAAGTCGCCAACTCATTTGAGTTTTAAGGGAGATTGTCATTTTGCAACAGAGATAGTTGTGATTCTTAGCTTGCTATTTTCTACATTGTGACACCCAGACAACCGTCTTCATCACGATGTGACCATTTAGAGGAGAATTGATCGCTATTTAAATGAGCTTTGGGTTTTTCTTAATGTTGGTTATTAATCTGTTTAAATTTCTCATTAACTTCGAAAAACCGTAGAGCTCGCTCGTATGAGGAACCTCTAGACAATTAGCGAGGCTAGATGGCAAGTCTTGTTTTACGATGGTTTCAGCGTGCTCACTAAATAATTGCTGTGCTGGTTTGGGACTATATTTCCCGCATATATGATCTATCCATACGTAGATAGATGTGAATACATGGGCATGGATTGTCCACTTCATGTCGGATCAACGAACTGCGTCTAATCCAGTTGAAAGTATCTGAAGGAGCCATATGGGAACTTCTATGCTCTTCCATGCCTCGACTGAGGAGAGCTCACTGACCAGGCCTACCATGTGTCGTAAGGGAGCGATTAAAAACCTTGTTGCTCATTCAGGCTGCCTAAATTATTTACAGGATTATTGGTGCTAAATGTGTCACCAGCTCCAGCATCGGCTATTTCTAGTCGTCATTTATCGGTTTCATTTTTTCCATGGTTTTTCACATGTAGAAGTCTTAAAAGACTTGGAATGTGCTTTCCCGTTGTTGGGACTCTATACTATTTTCTACTGTTTTTCATAATAATACCCTTTCAGATGCATTCGAAGCTTTTCAACACTGTCAATTCTGTACATCGCGCCTATGAAACAACCAAACTGTACCGCGAATTGAAAATGAGAGGATCAATAGTGGATGAAAGACACAATCTAAAGTTGTTGCCTCTTGAACAACTAATTGAGAATGTTAGTGGCGTGTGGAATCTTAGCAGCGACCAGGTATTACGAAGCAAATCTTTCATGCTGTCGTTCAATTCCTATAAGTACCAACGGTTATCATCTGGCAGGGCACATTGGGCTGCTTCGTTATCACGAATGTTCGGCTGGTTTGGTTTGCAAGCACAAATCCTCTCTACAATGTTTCAGTGCCTTATCTGCAACTTTATTCCTGCAGAATAAGAGAATCGAAGTTCGGTTTGGCTCTTGTCGTCGAAACTTCTCCGCAGGTATCCCGTTCTTTTGTGCTGTGTGGTTTTTCAATATAACTTGTTTACAGAAGCATTTGCGATAGTTGTCAATATTGTTACTCTGGCAGCACCCTTGTGTTTGCACGGCTTTATCACATATGATATCTCAGATGGGCTGTTGGAAACCAATTATTCTTTTGTATAGAGTGATTGAGAAGCAACTCTCTATTTTAAAATTCTTATGATTTATAATTCAGTGTTCTCTAGGTGAGGAAACACCAGCTTGTAATGAAATTTTTTTCTTCGGCTAACGTTTCGGCTCCTTCGCTTTCATCAGAGCTGCGTTAATCTGAGTCGGTTGTCCACAGTCGGTCATTGTCGCATCGAGTCAAGTCGTTCGGAGTGAAGCACTGCTCGAATTAAGTATCGTCACTCGGCAGTAATTTTTATTGTGAATGACTGTTGGTCTACTAATATCCAATATGGCCTGCTGATCTGCCTTCATGATGGCACTCCTGCAGAATTCATGTTATACTAACTGGGAAGTAGCATAGAAATATTTCTAAAATCCAATTTTGCTTTAACCGCAGTATGAATAATCAGTATTTTCCTAGATGATTTAGCTAACATGAGGTTGTTGCCATGTTGCCAAGTAACGTGAGCATCACTCCACTCCAAACAACTCGACTCGATAACGCAACAAAAAGCCTACGCCGTGACTACGACCGGTTGTGGGCAATCCACTCGAATCAGTATCACTCCGAATAAAACGACGATGTCGAAACATTAGCCCTATGGAGTTTAATAACGGCCTCTTATAAGTTGTTTTTAACCATAACTTTTATGAGAAATAAACACGAGGAGAAGGCGGATAGTAAGAAGTTTCATTCAAAATTCAATGTGAGGAACAACGGCATTCGCCACCGGCCTTTTAAGCGGTCTTGGAATTGTTCCAACTGATTTTACCAGTGCTCTTGTGGAGTGGAACACGTAACTTGTCGTATTTGCCTTCAAATTCTTCCAAAATCCTTCGTTTAGTTAGAGCAGACTTGCTCTTCTAACGAACAAAGAAGAAGAAATTTAAGTCAAGACTTCTGGTTGACCACTCATGTGGAGCATAGCGATCTATTCAACTCCCAGAAAACCGGACATTCAGTCATCCACAGACAACAATAGCAAAGTGTGGAGGAGCACCATCTTGTATGAAATTCAACTCTTAAGTATCCTCCTTGTTACTGATAACATGCAGCATGGTGAGGTACATTAGGCATTCATGGTATCGCGAAATATGAAGGGACCCGCAATCCTGTCTGAAGTCATTTCAGAACAAACGTTATTTCGAGTAGATTTCTTTTTGTCAGATATATTACGAACGTCGAATTGAAGTTTTTGGGCTACGAGTAAAAATCTCTTGAACAACTTTTACTACCTCCAGGTCATTGGACTTGGAAAGGCGACTGCTTGTCCCAGTATCAGTTACATATCCTGTAGCCATGAGTTCTTCCTGGCAATTTTTGGTCGTCTTTGCATCAATTTGAACATGTTCTGCTTTAATGGTCCTTAACCATCTTTGCACTTGATCTCGAGGCCTCGTAACATGCTGCTGACTGGGCACGCGCTTATAGGGAATGACGTCCAGCCATATTTATAAGGCTTCCAACTTCTAAAGAAAATAACCGATTTGAAAAAAACAATAAGAAATTAAAATTCTTACTGCCCATTATTTTTTCATGGCAGGGTATTAAGTGAAATATAACGACAACGATGCTGAGGTATTTGCAAAACCTGGAGGTACAACAGATGAGCTTTGAACTCGTGATTACCCTTTCCGAGAGCTCACGTATTGTCTATCCACTACACCGTCGAGGCCTTTGCTTTACCTTTCTTTCAACCAATTTTTTACCCAGTGGTGCTATCAGTGATCACTAACAGGGAGTGAACAAAGTTTTAAGCACTGTGATTTCGACTGCAGGTTCAGCTTAACTAGGTCCAATGCCGATTTGTGCTCACCAAATCATTCCCGTTGACGGGTTCGAAGCTCATTTGGAGATATAGGTTTTGGAAACATCTCAGCATTATTATTATTGCATTTAACATAAATTTAATTCCCGTACACTAACGAAAATGAACAAAAAATTTGAGAAATTACACTGTATTTTCGCTCATAACGAACCGAACATGATATGCGTATCGTTGACAACAATTTGTTATATTCATATCAACTTATATATTAACACTGGCGACGATGCTCAATCTCGGGTTTGTTGGGGACCAAATTTTTGGCTCCTCTCATTGTCACTATGCAGTTATATTGCTGTCAGCATTCAATGAGAAAAAGAAAAAAGTAGTGTTAGGAGAAATTGCAGGCACTACAATTCTTTACAGCAGTAGAAACAAAAATATTAAGAACTAGGGTGTCATCGTGTCGCTCTGAGTAGTTCTGTACACTTGTACACAGAGTCTAAGTAAAGGATAAAGCGTAAAAGGTAAATGCATTTGGCGTCGATCAATTCCTTAAGGTTGTACCATGCTTTCGACTTCATCACACATCGTTAGAGTTGTATGCAACTCTGATGAACCTACTCTGTAATGTAATTTTTTCGTAGAGACTCTTTCTGCAAATCGTTGAAGCTGGGTTTTTCTTTGAAGACTAAAAACCAAAATGGCTAGATTTCATTTTTTGATGCTATAGCGATTGTAAAAATGAAAGATTGAGTTTTGAGTCATAAGTATCTAGTTTTAAATTACAATTAGTATACTGTTTTATGGAACTATGGGAATACAGTAGGTACTTTTAGACTGTACATTTCTCCTAATCTCTTCGATTATGAAGTCCTGTTTAGAGTGGAGAATACGTTTTGGGATTTCGTATTGATCCTGCAGAGCGTCTCCAGCAGGTGTGCACAGCCATTCAGGCTCTTCACAAAGCTGCGAATATACAGCCTATCTTTGGCGTGACCTTTTCGAAGGATAAGCCTGTGGGTTTTTGCAGGTATTGTTGAGTGACAATACATTGAATGAAGGACTTGTAGCCTTCTCCTCGAGAGTCAAATGCGGAAACAATGAATGAAACGGAAGAGGAGGAAGAGGAACAGAAAGAGTTAAGAACGGACGCATTCGCCGTAAGTGCAGTAAAAGTCATGCAGTTTCAAGGAATTAGTAGTGTTCGAGTATTTTCACCTCATTGTAAGGATAAGCAGAAAACGACGTAAGCGATCACTGTCTCTCTCAAGATCTGGCAGTTCAGAAAAGATGGATGATGTCATGTTATTTGGTGAAATCATTATGTTAACTTTTGAAAGAGATAAAATTCGTAGCATAAGGTACTGATAGCGTCACCCACTGAGATCGTTACTCATGTTTAAATATAGACTCAGTCTTGAATGAATGGCTGTGGTTGACCTTGAGGGTTCTAACTAACGAAAATTTGTGTGCGTAATGGTTTAGCGGGTTACATTTTATTTGCATCCATCTGTTCAACCTTTAAAAAAGAATCCGTAAGCTACTGATACTTAAGAAGTAAAAATATGTTCAAATCTAGCGTTATGCACCAAAACAAAAGCAAAACATCTATAGGGACTGTCCACTTTAACATATATGGTCTCCATTCCATTGTAGAGACCAAGATTCTATTGCCTTATAAAATATCCTTTATTAAGGCCTACTTCTCCGATGGTAACGTGCACTCCGACGAACGACGTCCACCAGTGTTTAGTGAAGAACTGGGCTTAGCCATTGAACAGCTAAAACCAGGATTTACCCTTGCTGATCTGTGGAATATCTACATTGATTGATTGTGGCCTATATATTTTATACGACATAAATGCTCTTTATTGACGCAATCCAATTTTTCTTATAAGAAATGGGAATGAAGGTTGAGCCTATAGCTCGGTTTTTTGTTCCAACACCACAAACATTGTTCGAAATCTGACAAATACTGCACGAAATACCAACATTTGTCTTTTAATTTCGAAAAGGTGTTTTTTTTTCTGCTCGTTATTCACAACTTGTTATAGATGTCGGTCCTTCTAACATCCAAGGATAGGATTTCGGAGAACCTGGTAGTCATCTTCTCATCCAGTAACGTATCTGAGCAACTATTTTTAGCAGCGCTTGAATGGACTACTACGAAGCACAGGAAAACTCATTACGTCAGAAGGACTAGGTGTGAAAGGTAAGAAGGGGACCGGGATCGGAACAGACTTACGATGCAATCAAAGTGATACTGAGGCATTTGCAAAATTCGGAACCTCAGACCAGCTTCGAACTCATGACTATTTTCAGGAGTTCACGTATTACCAACTGCACCACGGTCCCTTGTCCCGAGCTGTTCTCGCGTCTTCATTTTGATCCCCGCGCTTTTTTCAGTGAATTTGATCCCTTTATCGTCAAAAGCTAAACCTTTTATATTCCTGTAGCAAAATCATGTAATGTTCCGCATATAACAGTTTTCTATGTTTTACGTCAATTAACCCGTTTAAACTGGTAGCGGGGTAATGGATTTATAAGGAAGGACAAAGCAATAAGACACGAATGAAGAAGCGAAAAACACTTCAATATGAAATAGTGACTTGCTAAACCTTCAGCGCACATTTCTTCCTTCCACATCAAAAAAATCATTTCATATTGATTAAACCAGCCAACACGTTCGTGTTAGTGCTGTCTTTTGGTTAGCGAATAGCTCAAAGTGATCATTTTAGAAATACGGTCGTTCCTAAGAAGTGTTTTGTGGATCCTGCACGATACAGAAGAATTAGGTTTTACTACATGGAGGACTATCCACTTGAAAAAGCATCTGAACTGTCGGTTGATTATTCTGTGAGAAATGAAGAGTCACTAATTATAGTAAGCAGTTTTCGTTCTTTTATAAAATGATCGGCTCACATATTCCGCTTTCTTAATAGTTAATTAGGTGGAGACCGATCGAGAGAGCTATTTGGAGGAAAGCGCTGTGGCTAACACACTCGCTGTCCTTGTCGCATTTTCATCTGGTAAACGGCGTTCCATCGTTTCCTTTTTTGCTGACGAAAATCTTATGATGTTAGCATCTCTTTTCACCAAGCATATTTATGTAACAGGCGACGACGGTTGTTTTTCTAATATTCAAATGTCTCCGTAAAAAAATAGTCTTTCATTATTCTTAATTTTGTTAATACATGTATCTATTTAAATTTTTTAAAAATCCTCTTTTCCATGAAGAAACCAGATCTCAATGTTGTATTGAATACTATTCTTACTGCTTCTGATTAATTGTAACGATATATATATACCTTAACATGTTTTTATGAACTGATTTTGTTGAGCTGATGCGATGGTGATTGGTATGTTTTTGTTGTCGTTGTTGTTGATGTTGTTGGTCGATGGCTGACGTTTCGGCGACTTCGTCTTCCTCAAAGCCGTGCTGTTACCAGTGCTACTCGCGTCAACTCAAAAAGACCAATTCATAAAAGCACATAGATAGATATATAAATCAACTATGCCGAGGTTTATAGAAAGTTGGTCTTTTGAATTATCTCTTAACAATTGGTCGAATTAAGAGCTACCGCTTTATGGATATAATAAATATTATTAAAGTGAACAGCATCACATGTGTACACAACAACGTAACAGCTTGAACAACAGCGGCTGACAGATTCGTCTCGAACCTTCAACCGCTACATATGCACCCAATTAGATAACAGATATGTTTCTGAGTGAAAACGTATTGAAAGATAAGTGGGAGGGCAGATACAAACAGAATAAATGTGGTAAACTAGATAACGTCTTGAGCAAAAAAAAATGTTGAAACATGCCGCAATATAACTGATCTGATACTGTCTTTAGAAGACTTGAGAAATTGCAACAAATAGACCACATTATGACCCACCCAAATGCAGCAAAGTTATCAAACGCCTTACATTTGAGACTGACTCCATTGTTCGTGTTCATGCTGTAACTCAGCTCGATAAAGACTTGGTTCACCGTATTTCTTTCGTTTGAAAAACCCACAGCGCCACAAAATCATCACCAAAATAAAAAGAATCAGAAGACCCAGAAACATGCTGACTAGTACTAACCACCATGGAACCGGGCGTGAACCTAAAATATTTGGTTTATTTACTTTGAGCAAGGACAATTTAGAGTGTATCAAAGGTACTGATCTCAAATACAAACCAAGAGTTGGCCGATCCGGATATGCAATTGTTTTCGCGCTCACTGCATTATTGCTTGGATTATCCTCAATTCCTTGAGCTACATCTACCTCTATTTTCCCAAAAGATGCTATTTCAACGTATTCTACATCAGAATAATCCTAAAACAGGAGATTTAAGACATTGACGACAAGTGATCTATGTTGAAGGAACCGGAACATGACTTACTTCAATGAATGTAGAGTTCCACAGTCGAGCTCGGAAATCGATAACGGGTGCCGAGTTTGCATCAAGGAAGTCGAAATGGCAAGTCACTGTGAAGCATTTGGCTGTCTTTTCAGCGCATCCCTACAACAGTAATGTCGACACCATGGTGACAAATACAACAAGCAATGTTAGCCTTTTACTTGCTGCCTACTTTAACTTTTCATAGCAGGGTATGATGTGAAATATAAGCACAGCGATGCTGAGATATTCGCAAAGTTTGTACCCCTGGCCAAATCGAACCACGATTGCCCCCTCCGGAATCTCACATGTTACACGCTGCACCAGTGAGACCTTTGTTTTGCGTTTTTTCCAGCTAGTTTTCTACCTAACGCTGCTATGAGCAATCACCCGTCAGCGGGATTGATTTGGGGAGCACAAATCGGCATTGAACCCAGTTAAACAACAACCAGTTCCAAGATTACTCACTATAGTAACGACCGAGACATCAACACCATTTTCATTTCGTTTATGAGGCTGGATTCGCGATCGTAAAAAGCCAGCATCCATAACCTTGAGTGCCTCTACGCCTCTCTATAATAAAAACAGTTAGCGTAAAAACGAATAAAGAACAGGAAAAGAGTTATGTCTCCAACAGGAAATTTGTGGATATACAAAGCAGACCTTCAAACGTCTTCCTATAGATTGTCTAGGTGGAAATGTCTCCTGTGTAGTATATTTTGTATTCAATTTGATGTGGTCCAATGGGTTCACAAATTCGAGCCTTCGTTCAACAGAACACCTGTAGAACTAGTTTAAATGATTAGAGTATTCATTGTTAATTACACAAAATCCTTTAAACACATGCCTTCTAATGTCTACTGTCCCATCAGTATTATGTATTGTGACCGTTGGAACATCGAGGAGATAAAGCGCCCACTTCCGCTTCGTTTGAGCTGACACGACTTGGTAAGGCCAATCAAACTAAAGCAATCGTCATATTCGTCCATGACAAGTACGAAAAAGACCACTGATGGCAAGTAGAACAACAGCCTTTTCAACAGCAACTCTGAACAAAACGTTCAATAAATAAGAAGGAAACAATACCTTGGCGAGAACATTACGAACAGTCCATGGTCCTCTATTGTGAAGTGTGTAATTGTGACGAACCATTACTCCGATATCTTCTTCCAAATCCATTGAAGACTCATCTAAGTATCTGACTCGTATTATAAAGAAAAACATGTGAAAGGGTATTTTGATAAAGAGCATCACGCACCTCTCACTTCCCCACCAAAACGAATGAGTGGTGGATCACTGGTCCCGATGAGCTCTAACTCAGCTTTTTTAATTATTTGCAGTTCAGAGTTCCAAACATTGTCTCCTACAAAATTTGAGTTATAATTAGAAATATCGTTTTAATACACAATTAATTATGTGAAATTACTTAACACTTAATTCCTATACGACCGAAAACTATTCCGATTTCAAATTCAGATAGACACCTCCCAGCACGGAACTTCAATGACTGAACAAAAAAAAAAACGGCGGTATTCACAGAACTTGACCAATAGGACGCAATTTGTGATATTCTATTACTGTGGAATTCAAATTTGTAGAGGTTCAGAAAACAAATTTTCAGCTTCCCCGACCAGCATAACATTTCAAACAGCGAAGAGCTTGCATAAATGGGATCTCGTCCAATATGACGCTGTCCCCGAATGTATATTCACGATTTTGACTAACATGATTGCATCGAAAATTTTTCGAAAAGTTAAAAAATCGCTTCCAAGTTTCTTAAAACTAATGAATAACTTCGGAATTGAGATGAAATTTTGGAAAACTTCAGGCTCTCAAGTACCAATGTTACACAAAAATTACTATAGACTATAGGAAAAATAGCATCGGCTATTATTTGTTAATGTTACGCTAGCAAAATCCCAAGTAAGCTCTAGCTAAATTAGAACTAGGACATTTTACAAATTAAAGAAGAATTCTGCAGAACTACTACTACAATGCTCGTAAAAAGTATGAAAGTATGGAGAGACTAAGCTTATAAGCATTGATTGCGTTTTGTCACCACATTCAAGAAATCACTGATGTGGTAATAAGATTCATTAGTTGCAATACTTCAATAGGTGACAATAAGCGCAAACTATTCAGAACAAGCACTATTCTAAAGCTGAACTATTTTTGCTCACCTTCGTTGATCTCAAACGACGTGGAGTTAACAAGGGCTGCAAATTGGAGTGGTCTGCCAATCCCTTCTGTCCTACCGCGTACTATTTTGAACCGTAAATCAAACGAATGCTAAAGCAAGAATGTTGTAGGAAGTCTTATTCTTGTCAGAATTGTTCACAATCAGCAATACCTTTGTGCCAGAGTCCATAGGATTACCTAGTTGGACAACAACCATGTTCTTGTTCGTTTCCCACCCTAATCTGGTCTTTCCTAAAAGAAGCAGAATCCACTATAGCCAAGAATGACGCCTGTGTTTCATACTAACCGACAATCATCGGCAACTCCAGTTCTTCGACATCAAATTTGAGAAATAATGCTGCTTGATAAGCCTTTTCCTTCCGATTCTCTACCGTAAAAGTGATATCGACAAAATCTTTGTCACCAACATTTGACACGTAACCATGTTCCGTCCTGAAACGGTGTTCTCTTGCTTTCATCCTTCAATAACAATTTTAAAAAAGCAGATACTTTGGAATGTCGACAAATATCGCCTTTAGAACAAGATCCGTCTGACACACTTGATCTTCACCACATCTGGTGTTAAATGGTATCTGGAAATGGAAGTTCTAATGACGATCCAATTAAATTTTTCGATTTTGAGAGTAAATCCCACCTGAAACTCATAACTGGCGCCGTACTTATTAAGCATAGGATAGTGGTTCAGATCAGCAATAGGATGACCCTCTTCTGGTTGAAATGGTTTCCGCTCATTCATGATCCGCACAGTAAAACGGAACTTTAGAGGATTGATCCAATCCTTTGCAGAATTATCGTTCTCCTGAATTGAACCACCACGCTATAAAAGCAGCATATTTTTACCTAAGCAGCAATATAACTAACAGGTATATAAATTATTTCAGTGTACTTTTGACGTCCACGGTGAGCTCCTCGACCACACGGCCAACTATGATTAGTTGAAGCAGATCCACCTATGTTTGCCCGCAATTCCACGCCTTGATTCAAGGCAACAACCTGCAGATCACTTTTGAAAAATCTCCACCCCAATACAAAAAGTGAAAAGAAATAAGCGAACCTCTAAATTACAAGTGAAAACGTTATAATTAAAATCGAAAAGATTGCCTCCTTTAGAAGAATCCCATTCGACGAAAATTTCCAGATCGAGTGCGAAACTGAACAGCAACGATATCAAGTGGAAATCGGATCATATCAACTTTATACAATAAATAATTAAACATACCAAGTTTTCGTACCACGCGGGCAATTCTTGCCCTTCTCGATATCAATATATTTATTCTTTGTCTTATGCGACACCGATATGCTGATCACAGGACGGGATCTGACAAAAACAAAAATCAATTTGGACTGTAACTTTGAATTTTAGTCCAATTTAAATTCGATTTAAAAGTTCAATTTTGAAAAACAGAACGAAATAGAAGTTTACCGCAGTATGGTTACAAAGTTTTCAGTAACAGCTCCGACAACAAGATCTGGATAGCCGTTTCCATCCAGATCGGAACCACCAGATAGGGAGAAACCGAAGGATTTGACAGGACGACGCAGATTTGGCAAGTCGGAACCCATAATGACCTTAATAAGCAAATAAGCATAGCTATGGAGGCCCACCGATGAATCACGTTTACTCTTCCAAACAAGTCTGGTACCAGTTTACCAACCATAAAGGTATGGGATGCTTGCTTAGCCTCGAATTGTGACTGCAGTGCTGACCACACGCGTACTGTAGACTGACTCTAGCCCAGCCCTTCCGTTATACACATACGTATGTTCAGATATATAGGCGGCGAATGTGGCGTAGTAGTCAGAGGTGCACTGCAATATCCACGCGGCCGTTAGTTTGAACCCGCACCCCAGACTCATATAACCGTTTATCACTCCGAGGTCAAACTTGTACCAAACATGGTTGCAAGGATACCAGCACTGCCTTGACTCATCAGTAAACCTCGGCAACTCATTGTATGGGCCAGAAATGCATTCGATCGCTTCTAATAATGCTTGATGAAATCGAAGGTCTAGCGCATCCATTATGGATCACCAATGTCGAAAGCTTTAAGCTGCGTATATATACAAATATATATATATATATATATATGCATGTACGTGCATACGTAAATGGACAAATATATATGCATATATATATATATGAGCACATATACATATTTGTATGTATATATGTCTCTAGGTTTCGGTATTTTTTATTTTAATTCAAAAATATCAAAGAGCCTAACATGATTTGCGATGAAATTGAAAATGATCGTTAATTTCGCATCAAATCGATTGTACTAAATACATGTTGGGCCCTGTGTGATAATGTAAATGGGAAAAAGAATATTCAGAACAAAAGCTGACCTGAGCAGCAGTTGTCTTAAAGTCTTTCACGGACTTCTGTCCGAGATACACATAAACAGCACCTTCCCCTTCATTAGCAAACGGAGCACCCACCACAAAATCTAAACGAAAACTTTCAAAATTCCCTACATAAGGTGCTATCTCAAGATTTTAAAATCCACCATTAAATCCATTTTTGTCACCGTCAATATTTCCCAGACTAGATAATGAGAGGCCGAACTGAGAGAAAAATCCTGGCGCCTTCAAAACCAGAGGAGTGTGGAAAACCTTCAGCGACTCACTCTGCAATCAAAATATTCCATTTGAAAACAATGAAGTTCCAATACACTAAAAATACCTTGCTTCGTTCCTTCCCCTGTGAATAATAAACATAAACCACTCCACCGAAATGTCCGTCTGCGTCAGAACGGTGCTCAAAGGGAGCTCCGACAATAAGGTCATCGAAACTGAATAAAAACTAATAGCTGTTGAAGTAGACCTAAAAAGTGAACAGGATAGTGCGCTAACCCGTCGTTGTTCAGATCAACAACTTCAATCGCGTATCCAAAAGCAGACCCCATTTTTGTACCATTCAAAAGAAATTTATCCTCATTGAAAGTCAAAAGATCTCCGCGTTCCTGAAAAAGTAATAACTGCCAAAGTCTTCGAAAATGTGAATGATACATTCAAGAACCATAAGTCCAGTGTTGCTATGAAACCGAAAACTATACTTTTGTGAAAGGCATGAATATCACAGCACCATGCTGGCCAAAGCGAGTGGCGCCAGAAACTATCGTAGCTCTTTCTCCTTTTTCGTACCTGAAAGCCTCAAGTTTAAGATACCTCAAAATGACGACAGTTCTCCTACAGATGAGTAGTTCAAGGAATGAAGTGATCGAGTTTGCAACAAACAGCAAGTTAAAAGCATTAAGTATTTTCAAGTAAAAAGAGCTACCAGAATCCGAATCTTCCAACATCTACTGAATAGCCAAGATAATCATGGGCAGCAAGTACAGTTCGAACACCTCCTTCTTCTTGAGCCATAGTATACTTTTCAGTCTACAAATCAGACTAATATTTAAGAACAGCGACCAAAACGCAGAATTATTTGGAGTAATTAAATAGTACTCATTTTGAAGGGATTGTTCGGCGAACAGTACTCTGTCAAGAAAAGAAAAATCACCGTGGTTCCGAAAATTCCGCCCTCAGTCCGTCGAGCGTACACACCGCCAGTCCACTTCATTGCGCCAACCAGTCCCGTCACTAACGTGTTCTGAAGAGCAAAAATATAGCTTGAAACTCTTTCTGTTCGATAAACAGATGGAGTTTGTCTTTGGTTTCGTTTTAGAGCAACAGTAATAGTCTTCTCTTCATAATTGTGCAGAAATCAAACACCGCGCTGAAATTTGTGGACAATGCAACAAGAAAGCAACACTTGGAACAGATTTTTTAGAAATAGCATAAAGCATGGAAACGATCAGCTTTAATTAGCCCTTTAATGTGAGGCGGGCATTCGAATTCACTAAGCATCATAGAGAAGATTGAAAGGATTCCGGTTAGTACAGTGAATTCCGTGGCCTACTGATGTATCAAGTCAGCACTTTTATCGTCCCCGACAAGTGTGGCGACGATAGACTCAACGCGGACGGATGGAGGGATTACTTTGGCGAAGTAACGCGATCGAGTAAACTAGCGCGTGTAGACGAACCACTGCGCCACAAGTGCTCCATCTTCAAAAATATCAGGAAGTAAATATACAAATATAAAGTGTCAAAAAAGAATAGGAATAAAAAGCATTCGTTAACCTTTTCATTTCCTGCATATTCTTTTTAGCGGGAGGGTATGTTGCGAAACATAACTTCTATAATGCTGAGATATTCCTAAACACACCCTGCCGTTAAAAAGAATAGGCAGTAAATAAAAAGGTAAAGATTGTGAAACTATAGCCTCAGCTTAACTGGGTTCAATGCCGAATTTGGCTACCCAGATCAATCCCGTTGACGGCTAATTGCTGATGGCCAGTGATCGATAGAACTAGCTCAAAGACAGGCGAAACGAAGGACCCGCATGGTGTGGTGGTGAACGAGTTAGCCCGCGGAAAGAATAATAGCGCGTTCGTTCCCCACCGCAGACACCTGCGGTCCGGAGTTTTGCAAATATCTCAGCATTATAAAAGACATTCGCACAAGCAAACCTTCTTCATTGCAAAAACCCCCTTATAAATTAAATTATAGATATCCTCTGAAGCAAAGAATTACCCCAGAATATGCGGCCGAGAATCCTTCCATACATGCCCCATATTCGTTGTGACGTTCAAGTTTAGGCAGATTTTTTTGAAGGCAATTCGTGTACGTGGCACTCAAAGAAAGGTCGGAATTCAACTCGTAACAAACACCCTGCGTATATGCACTTGTATTATGGAATCTCATCAGCGGAGCACAGACCTAAAAGCAAATCCTTAGATAAAGGACTGAAGCATAGAGATCAGAATGCAATAGTACAGAAAGCTTACTACAGCTCCTCCTTTTTTAACACCTTGTGAAGAGAGCGAAGCGCCCAGAAGTTCTCCGTTCTTTCCCAGGTAGTGAACCTCACGAGCTGTTAAAGTAGAATCTGGTGACTTGAGATAAAATGACGCATTCTCGTACTCAGCATGAACTTGTTCGCACCTAGACAACCACTGTCATCAGGGCTCAGAGGACTACGGTTACGACTTGCTGCAGGAAGTTAAGCTGCTTACCACCCATACAAAGCAAAAGGATGGAAAAACTAACAGCCGAAATAGATAGAACTTGGGAAATGGAACTTGAAAAAACGCTCACCAATTTGAAGTATTTCCGGAGTATTTCGTATTTATAGGGCATGCAAACAGGGCTCCTGCTTGACTTGTTCCGACTTGGCCCGACTCAGCTCGCGGAGCACCAACAAGAACACTGTAAACCAATCCTACTATAATCATAAAGAAACTTCAGAAATTTGTTCTTTTCTCCATTCAAGGAAAACATTGATAGCCCATTTCATTCCTCAAAAACTACAAGGACGACTAGTCGAACCAGCTTGCCAAAATACATATACAACCCAAAGTCAAATCGATCACCTCATCCTTAGCTAAAACCATCGCGTGGGTCACTCTTGGGTTCATTAGTCGAGTTTATAAACTAAGGAAAATGTGCGCTTCTCAATGTTGTAAAACAAAAAAATCAAGACAGTTGCTCATAACTACAACAGCTTTTCTTACAAGCCTACTTCCGAGAATAATTTGAGTCCCCTCTGTGTAGTTTATCATCTCGCACTTAGCCAGCATGTTCTACAATTTGCCATCTAGCATTCAAAGCAAAACTAGAGCTACAGCAGCATCTAATGCTGGTTTGGAAGGACTTAGTCCCAGGGCAGCATAACTTCGAGCAACAGGGAAAACTGTTCGGTTCCAAATTGCTATCCACAACCAACTATTGTTAAATGAAGCGTACAACCCCTTTTATGAACAAATTTCAAACGATCCACCCACACTGGCACGTCACCCTTGAAGTGTTCGGCTACCGCATAGCCGAAATAGGTGTCCTCCTTGCCGTATTTGTAGATCGGAGCGTACACGTCCAGATTGAAAGCATGAGCGGACAGCGAGATCGACAGCAAGCAAGGCAGAAGAGTCGACCCGTACGACGAACGCCTCCGTCGTGACATTGACGTCGACCCCACGATGTGATGTGATGGGAACTGATACGATGATAAATTAGTGGTGCTCGGAGTGAGTCATCGTCGTTGAAGATCGGGATGATAACGGCAGACGACAGCCGACTATCGATCAGCCCCACTGCAACACAGCCCGCTCGGTCGGCTACGCCTGAACAAAGCACTCAGGAAGCATCGAAGCATTGTCAGCATACGGACAACGGACGCGGACGAACGAGGATCTCATGAGAACAACCACTTTGCTAACATGCATCAAAGTTCATTAGGAGTGGAGGTGCATAGCAAAGTGAGGATGCATTTCAGTAGCTCGAATTCGCCCATATAAGCTATTCCTTCAAAACCAATGCTTAGAACTCAAAACTTCGTGCGAATGTGTGATTCGAACGGCGGAGTTACTACAGAAGATGATCTTAGAACAGAACTCAGAACGTAAACGAATGGAGACGAATGCATACGGACGCTGGCCTCGCAGAAGCGCGTTGCCTGCGAGTTCCGTAACCGCACGAAAAGCATGCGGTGTCGCGCGCGACCCATTTGCACCGCGCGGCGAGGTTAGCAGACGCGCCGAGGGTCAACGGGCGGAGGGCGGACCGGTTCGAGCGCTCGCGATGAGCCGGCAAACAAACCTTGCGGTTGGCCATCTCAAGTTGGCAAATAACTCGATGTCACTGCTAACATATATCCGAACCCATATACTCGGGCCGCACACGAAACGTATACGATTCGGTTCGGCATTCTTGTATAGACAGATAGGTAGGTGCGCACATTTTTGTGCAGAGGTCTTCATGTTCCTGTTCTTAGTTCATGCTTTATTCTTGATTCTTTTATTGCCTTATTATATTTCCCTATGAGGAACCGGAATATCGATATCGACTTCGTACAGAGGTATGGCCCAATTCAAACGCAGAACGAGCACTTTATTGTTAAGAGCGACATAAAACCATGGCACAAGTGGGAAGGGTTTTCATGAAGAATAGCGAAGTAGGAAGGGCTGTGGAGTTTCGGTGAACTTCACAGTCAATTCCGCTCACCATTGCTTCCCACAGAGCAAAAAATTCCTACCGGTTCTTCATCGTGTGCGTACCTCGGATTCCTCCAGTTGAACGCTCGAAAGATTAATCAAGTGTGGAAAACATTTCTGGGAACCCGTTGCGGTCCCCTGATTGATTGGGTACTAACGAGCGGAGTTTGACGTGAAGATGAAAAACCAAAGTACTGTTATGGACGATGGAGGGCTTGTTTACAAAATATTTTGTAAAGAAGGACACGAATAACATTCTGCATTGATTGCACCAAGCTAAAGCAGCTTAGGTCATTCTGCTATTGTATACTGCCAATCTATGACAAATCAAACTAAATAGCCCTTTCTGTATGAAAGGGCACTGCTGCCCGTGGCCACTTCAATCGTCCGTTTCACCACTCTATTCTATTCGACTTCATGTAACTGCATGACCCTCATTGCAAGAAATTACTGTTATGGCCAGTCTGCTCGAATCATTGTAACTCCGAAGGTGAATGCGCCGAAATATTGGCTACAATGGAGACTTGCTACACTTTTGTATAAGGTTTTCGGTCACCCGTATCAACCGTAGCACCCGTCATCCCGTTGGTCGTAGAATGACTCGTATGCCGGCGCCAGTAACCATTCCACGTCTCCTCTCGCGTCGAAGAGTAATCTAGTGCGTTCTTTCCGCATTAGCGACTCGCTGACCATCACATCTTTCTTCTAGGGTTTTCGTAAAGAGCTCTGACCATCGATCTGGTGGTCTTCCTACAGTACGTTTAACATCCCGAGGAATCCAGTCGTGAACGGCTTATGTCCACCGGTTGTCGCTCATACGTATTACGTGTCCGGTAGCTTTATTTTCGACAGTTTGACGTATAGAACGGCTTCTTCAATTTTTGATCGCTGACGCAGGTCGAAGCTTCGGATCCTTTGCCTCACTTGCGTAATACGAGCGAGAAATTTCTAATAATGCCCTTTCGACCGCGCCTTCTAAAACGCTAGGTAATTTTTCATCCTGCTTACGTATTCGCAGGGTTTCTGATGCATATGATAAGACCTGAAGAATCGTGGAGTCGAATAGGTGGGCGCGGAGTCGGGCTTTCACTGTTCTCTCCACTACATCCTCGATACTCTTAAAAGCTCCCCAAGTCGCTCGCTTCCTCCAGGTCGGCTCTGGAGTTAAGTCGTATATCACGTCGACTTCCCGACTGAGATAGAGGTAGCTGATGCATACGGAGATATTCGTTCCATTGAGCCTGAATGGTGCATACGAAACCAGTCCGTTTTTCATCAACATCGCTTTTGTGAGATTTCGTCGAAGATCAATCTTTCCACAAGCTTTATCAAAGCAGACTAGCATTCAATTCGACTGGGTAATGTTTAGTGTTATAAGAACAATGTCATCAGCAAAGAGAAGGCTGTGTACTTACCGACCATCAATTCCCACTCCGATGTTGCCCCATTCCAGTGTCCGCACTACGTTCTGGAGGGAGGGGATGAATAATTTTGGCGAGATAGTATCACCTTGCCTAAACCCTCTTTTGACGTCGATGTCAACATCGTTGTGGAATGGTAACATTTTGGTTGTGAAATTTTACATCAGTCACGAAGAATCAGTCATCAGTCTTCATATACTGAAGAAGGACGCCCTGGCTATCTAGGGCTTCCATTACTGCTTTTTCTCAACTGATTCAAAAGCATAGAGACCGGCTTTCATTAAACCTCATTAATAATCAACAGTAATCAACAATTTTCTGTATGATTTGAACGGCACTCCCTCCATTGGATTCGACTCGGTGCGACTACCCCAATAGCGACAACGACCCACTATGGGCCATCGACTCGGATCAACGCGACTCTAAAGAAGACAAATGTGTCGAAGTGTTAACCAAATGAACGTTTTTTCTAGCAACCTCGTGTTAGCTTAATCATTTAGAAAATTGAGTAAAGCTTTCTTTTAATCGATGAGAGTGAGACAGAGCGGTCTTTTGGGTTCTCGAAGTACTTCAATGAAGCTTGTTATCGTGTGGATGTGGTCCATCGTACTAGTCCTTTTGGAAATCGTGCTTGCTTACATGGTTGTACTTCGTCCAGGGTTCTGTTAATCCTGTTTAGGATGACTTGAGTAAAAACTTGGTAGACGACCTACGGCAAGCAGGTTGAGCGGTAGTTGCCGACAGACCTCAGATCGCCCTTTTTGAATATGGACAAAGTTTTGCTGCTCTTCCACTGAACAGGAACCTAATCTAACACATTATATTTCTAATCTAATAATATCCAATAGTCTGACAGGTAGTGTGTGAAGAACCGAGCCAGTGTGTTTACGAGGACTGGCGGAATGTTTTTCAGGTGTTCAGATCTTATCCTTTCCGGACCTAGTGCTGATAGAGTTTTCACCGACGAAATAGTTTGTTGGACTTCGGAAGGAGAACCAGTGGTACGACATATCCATCCTAGTAGTATTCGTGAATGATTTTCTCCATTGCCTTTCTGGACGCTGTAACTATTCCGTCTGGGCGTCGAAGTGCAATCATCTTGGTTTTGTAATTGGCGAGGCTTCGGTGGGCTTTGCAAATGCTTTTCTGAGCCTCTGCAGCTTCGACCATAACTGCTGCTCTTCTCTCTTTATGACATTTTATCGGCTGTCCGCATTGTTTTGCTAGTTCGGATGTTAGTTTGCGGTTGCATCTAGTTTGTGCGATTCCATGCGAACATTACCAGACCGTCGAGAAACGGGTCGTTCTAGGTTGTCAGAAGCACCTACGATGACTCGAAAGGACAATTTCGCTGAGTACCACTCAGTTCATGCTGCAACAAATCGTCACGCTTCTTCGATCTCCAAATTTTTAGGCCCTGCGAAACAGGTGAAATGCTCACATCGAGTTTTTCTGCGCAACCTGTCGAGCAGTTATCTGCCACTAAAGCCTTCAGTTCATCGTAATCATGGGCAGAAGGACGTCCGCAATCTCCCTCATCTTCATGGTAGAATTCATCACAACGAAATTTTTTCAAACCGCACTGTGAGCGCGTGTGCATTTCCTCGTCCCCATACCCCAATGTGTTGAGCCATTTGAGCTGAGTACGTACGAGTCTGAATTGAATTCGTAGAAGTAGATATGTCGAATCTGTAGCCTTCACAGTTGAAATACTGAGCTTTGAAATTTGTAAGAAACATATTTATACTATAATTCGACTACACGAGCGAAAGTTCATAGAACAAGCTTTGCAATTATGACTGGTACCACAGACTTCGAAAGGAAAACTGCATAGAAAACAAAAACAAAAAAGAAATAAAAGAATAAGAAATATAAACAGAAGAAAAATAAAATGTCAAATCTGGGGTCAATTTCCACGCAACCTAATTTACGCTTTTGGACCTTTTTATAATATGATGAGGCCAACTGTGCCAAAACTTGCTATAACTCTCTAAACAACGCGAGACTTCAGGGAAAATTGGTGAAGCATCATGTATTAATAGAGAAAGAGTCCAATGCTTCTTGATGGATCGCGAAATGTTGGGTAAGGAGTGAAGAGGAGCTTGGTCGTTATTTGGCGCCCATAACTGCCCATGAATCGACGACCGTGGCCATTAGCGGCTATTCAGGACACATTTAGGGAGTGGAGGGTGTCTGAAAGCGGAAAGAAGATGAGTTTTTCATTGAACTGCAATGATAGACCTTGTGAGGAACGAATGGTTCATGACATGGCGAAGGTGTTATGAAGAGAGATCAATGTATTGTTAACTATGCAAAAGTAGGCTAAAAGCTCAACATTTTCGGAAGTCGCTCTAGTCGTCACAACTGAACGAGTCAGGTGAGCGAGAAGTCGTTTTCGTATTGAAGTTGTGGACGTCCGAGATACTACCCCTGCCGAAAAGGGATGAACTAAGAAAAAAGAAAATTATGGAAATTGTTTCTATGCCACGGAGTCACACAGGTGGCAGTTCAATGCGACCCGTTTTTTCCCATAGAAACAGTAAAATTCG